AGACAGAGACAGACAGAGACAGACAGAGACAGACAGAGACAGAGAGACAGATAGAGACAGATAGAGACAGACAGAGACAGACAGAGACAGACAGAGACAGACAGAGACAGACAGAGACAGACAGAGACAGACAGAGACAGACAGAGACAGACAGAGACAGACAGAGACAGACAGAGACAGACAGAGACAGACAGACACAGACAGAGACAGACAGACACAGACAGACACAGACAGACACAGACAGACACAGACAGACACAGACAGACACAGACAGACACAGACAGACACAGACAGACACAGACAGACACAGACAGACACAGACAGACACAGACAGACACAGACAGACACAGACAGACAGAGACAGACACAGACAGACACAGACAGACAGAGACAGACAGAGACAGACAGAGACAGACAGAGACAGACAGAGACAGACAGAGACAGACAGAGACAGACAGAGACAGACACAGACAGACAGAGACAGACAGAGACAGAGAGACAGAGAGACAGAGAGACAGAGAGACAGAGAGACAGAGAGACAGAGACAGAGAGGTCTGTCTGTCTGTCTGTCTGTCTGTCTGTCTGTCTGTCTGTCTGTCTGTCTGTCTGTCGGTCCGTGCGTGCGTGCGTGCGTGCGTGCGTGCGTGCGTGCGTGCGTGCATGCGTTCGTGTGTGTGTGTGTGCGCGTCTTTTTTTGAGGGTACCCTTTTTATGTGGGTTGAAAGGGAAGCCACAAGGACAAACCATTTTGTCTCTGTTGGCCTACTTCACACACCCATTTCGCCCCTTTGCTCCCAGGCTTTCCACGACTCAACAAGTTTCCTCGGTGTGGTCGCTGGTCTTCGGGGTCATCGTCAGCTGCTTGGTCTTCGCCTTCTGGCGCCCAAAGAAGCGAATCTTCCTGGACCGCGCGTGCATCGACCAGGCGAAGCGGTCGAACGATTTCGTGCGATTTTTCGGTGTTCGAATGGGATATGGGAGTGTCTGAAAAAGTGTTTTCCCTTGGGTTTCCCCTTTAAAACAGCGGAGTGTCCTTTTTTTCGGAGACCCCTCCCCTCCCCCCCAAAAAGAAGAAGAAAGATGGTTCCCTTTGGGTTTCCCTTTGGGTGTGTCCTCAAAAGAAGATGGTTTCCCTTAAGTTTCCCTTTAAACAATGGGTTCTTTTTCCCCCAACGGCTGAAAGCCATGGGTTTGTGTGGATAGGCTCCGGGGTGGTCCGGGGCAGCTCTGAGGTAGGGTTCCGAGGAGGTTCCGGGGAGGGCGTGCGGCAGCTCCAAGGAGCGTTCGGGGTTGCGCGAATTGGGCCAAGCTGTGCAGCTGGTAGCCTGCTGTGAGTTTGGCTTGACTTCCCTGAACTGGGCTTAGGCAAGACAGGCTGGGCTGGAGACTGGGCCAAGCCAAGGTGAGCTGAAATAGACTCAATGGCTGCTTAGCGCACCTGAGCGGGGTTGGACTTGACTGGGCCCGGCTGATCTGGGCTGCTGTGGCCCAGAATCTTCAGTGGGCGATGATGCTAAATCACACACTTGTAGTATCAGGGCGCAGGAGAATCAAGCAGCGGATGGGCTGGACTGCGCTGCTGGACTGTTCTCTTTGGCGCTGCACGCTTGGTGTTTTCATTTCTTTGAATAGCCCATGGTTGTGCAAAGTTCGCGCAAATTCCGGAGGCCAGGCTTCTGATTTTTCCACCAGTTTCACTGCGCTTGGCATTTCGTTCTCGCGAAGAACCCTTCGCGTGCGATGCTTCCGGGAAAAAAGGTGGCTTCTTTTGGGTTCCCAAAAGCAACCTCGAAAAAGGCTTCCTTTCAAAAAAACGGACGCCAGCACGGGTTGTTTCCTTTTGGGCCTTTGGTCACCATTTTGAGGGCGAAAAAAAAATAGACGTGCAGCTTTTTTGCCAACAAGCAGCCACAAGGGGTAGTTTGATGGAAGACCCCTAGGCGGATGACGTGTTGAAGGCGGAGGCCATTTGCAGTCTTGCTGGGCTTCTCAACCAGTCAGACTCCATGCTGGTGCTTTGGGATGCGAGCTTCACAGAAAGGCTTTGGTGTGTCTTCGAGCTCGCCGCATTCCTCAAAAGCGCCAAAAGCCAGGCAAAACCTTTGATGATTTGCCCCACTGTGGCTGGACCCTGCTCGCTTGTGGGGGTTTTCATCGTGGCCGGGGTGTTTCTACCCATCGCGCTCTCCCCACTGCGGCACGCAGATCTCATGGTGCGTCCGGCCGTGATGGTCGGCGCCGTGTCGGTGGCCGGTTTATTGGGCGTCCAGGTCTTTCGAGGTCTCTGTCGGTCCGTGGAAAAGATGCAAAAGCAGCTGTTGTCCCTGAAGGACAGCGCTTTCTTGCAAAAGAAACAGGTGTGTTTTTTGAGTTGGTACTGGTACCCTGTTTAGGCCTGGTTTAAAGGGAAACCAACAGGAAGACAACCCATCTCGGTTGGGTTCCGACCAAATTTTGGGGCAGACCAATTTGACGCAGCCTTTGCACTGTAAGACCTCCAAGGGAAGCCAAGAAAGGAGGTTGTTTAAACCTAAACAGGGCCCCAAGGGGTGTACCAGAAAAGGATCTTGGCTTTTCACATGTTTTTTTAGCATTCACCCACGTTTTTTTTTTTTTAAATCACATGTTTTTCACCAGACAAGGAGGTTCGCCGTTTTGTTCCTCAGGTGGCGGACAGCAAATGCACCTGCTGCAGTGTGGGCCACGTTTTAGATGGTGAAGTTCTCCTGTGCGACAGGCAGGTCATTTGCGAATGCGTGGCCAGCTGGTTCCATGGCGCCAGACTTGGGCCCGTTTTGGTATGGGCTTAATCGAAGCCAGCTATTTTTGGAACAATTATTAATATTGTTGTTATTATTATTATTATTGCATTATTATTGTTATTCTTCTTATCAATATGATTTTGATTGCACCATCTGTTTTTTTTGGTTTCCATCATTGTTCCCTTTGTAACTTGTGGGCGTGTCGTTTTTAAGGTTGGACCACTAAAAAAAAGACACTCCCCCTTTTTGCCGTTTTGGGTTTCCTAGATTTTGGCTTTCCAGAGCTAATCCGTTTTTCATGGGCCGCGGAAATTCCGGCACACAAGCAATTGCACTTGGGAAGCTTAAAAGCTGTTTAAGTATCCCCAGCCCCCGAATGGCACTGGGGGAGGGGATTTCGAGCCCTGAGATTTCCGTTTGTGGCAACCCATTCTCCGTTTTATGACTGATTGGGGGTCCCGGACCCACCCCGCCTCCTTTTTAAGCTCGGGATGCCACAATTAATGGCTATACTTGATGAAATAATGAACGAATATAACTAATACCGTAAGGTTAATGAAATCAACTATATCCTTGACTCTTTATAGCTGGGTCACTAGGCAACAACCCCCCCCCTTGTCCTTGACATTTGCCGAGTGTCGCATGGCTTCGTTTGGAAAGCCCAGGTTTGGGAGCGTCGAGGAGTTCGAGCACTGCATCCACACGGAAGTGGTGGATGTCGTCAGCCGGGAGCTGGACCGCGCGGCCTTCGGGGACGCCTTCTGCGTGGGCATGGCCGCCCCCGCCTTTTGGGCCATCATGGACATCCTGCCCACGCCAGTGCTGTCGGGCCGGCCGCTGGAGCTGGTATTTTGGCTCACCGCCGCCTTCATCATGCTGGTTTTGGTGTTTCCTATGCATCTCGCATCTTGACTGCTATTGGGTTGGATCTTTAGACTTTAACTTCTTGGGACATCGAGTTGGGTTTTCCCCTAACCTCCCACAAAGTGATTCACTTTGTTGCAGGGGGGTCGTTACAACCAAGGCCTGGGCCAGATGCCTGGCCTTCCATTTCCGGCACCGATCCCAGTGTATCTGCGGCGAGCTGCTAAAGGACGCCGCCGTGATCTTCTGCGCAGCGCCGGTGCTGGGCTATGCCTTGGGTGCTTTCCTTTTTATCAGCAAGTTCTGCGCGCACTTGTCTCCGCCACTGCAGGCCGCGATTTTTTGCGGCCTGATTTTGCCCATGTGGTTCTCCATGCGGCTCTTGCGAAGGAGGCATGGCCAGAAGTTTTTTGGCCGGAGCCTGTTGCAGCACAAGCGCACAGCATTTCTCGGTTTCCAGCCTGGCTAGCGAGGCAGAACTCTTTTTGTGCACTGCATCCTGGGGGCCCAAATGCGGCAAGAGAAAAGAGACACCCCTTTTGCTGAAATCAACTTGCTGCCGAAAGGCTCGCAGGTTGAGGGTCTGCTCACGTGTTTTATGGGTGGCTCGTGTGTCTTGTTTGGAGGCTCGGTGCCCATTTTGAAATTAGTTTACAGGGAAAACAGAAGGACACAACACCATTTTGGGTGTCTCCTATGCAAGAGAGATGCCACATTCATTTGTCATTGTCCCCCTTTGCCGTGGTTTTACTATCACCTGGTTGGCAATGTTGCTTGATCTTCGCCAACTTGCATGGAACAAGCCCACATGGCTGGTCCGTAGGGTTCCCAGTCATAGGTCCATGCTTGCATGCTTGGATTTTAGAGGGTAACCAAAAGAGTTCGGACGTCGGTGCGTGGGAAGCACCATTTTTGGAGCCGATGGGTTGCCATTTGGGACCGGTGCGAAGGGTTCAGAATCGAACCGGGAATTTGGGCACCTCGGACATGTATTCCGACCATTTTTCCGAATTCATCTCCAAAGCTCAGGGCAAGATGGAGGGAAGCACGTCTGGTCATGACCCCCCACCCCCCTCTATCGGAGGGCAGACTCCTTCCACACGTGGATTTTGGATTTTGGGCGCCTCGTGTCCAGCTTTGCCTTTCAGGGTGTGGTTTCAAGGACCGAAAGGGAGAGTTGCGAGCGTCTAGGCTCACTCCCTGAGTTCCTGGACTGGAATACTTTTTTGACCATTTTGGTGGTAAATACAAGTTTGGACTTCCGTTGGCCAATCCACTCAGGAAGTGAGCAGTGGCATGTACCCTTGGGGACCCGTGAAAACCGACTGCTCGTGTCCAATGGCTCTCGTACATCGAGACCTTAGCTTTCTCTTAGGCTGTTTCAAGGGTTCCACTTTCTATGCCCACGCGTGTTGAGGGTGAAAAAATGCTGACCCCTTTTCAATCAACCGAAGCCCAGTTGATGAATAGGGGGGTGGGGGCCCCTCCACAAGTGATGATTCTCAACTAAACCCAGGCACCCCCCCGATATATCAATAAACAGGGGTTGATTAATATGGGGTCAAGCTTAGGACCGAAATACTTGGAATGAGCTTGTGGGCACCTTGAAAGCCAAACTCGTGACCTCAGAGACGGTGGTTTTCCCCCCAGCAAGTGACACCTTGAGCTGGGCAGCATGGACAACATGGTTTAAGACGAAAGAATCGGCGCTTTTCAACTGTGGTCCACAGGAAATCGACCGGATCTGACCCAAAAGGTAATCACCCGGCATTCCCAGGTCCTTCACACAAGTGAACGCCCCACGAGGGGAAACCAAGAGTTGGCACACCGGTTTGGTAAGCACCATTTTTGGAGGCAGGCATTCCAATCCATTCCAATCCAGCCCAATTCAGTCCAATCCATTTCGGGTTACCCTCTTTCCAATAAGAAAGTGAATGGGGGGCTTCCTCAAAAGGAAAGCTTGTGTCTGCCCTCCGATCGCCAGCTTCCTTCTGGATTGTTGGAGAGCAGTGTTTGGTTCCAAGCCAATAGGAAGGTGGCCTTTGAAAAGTGTTTTGAATCCCCACCAAAAAGGGGACACCCCCATCTCTCAAAATCAACCAAGAGTTCTGCTTGATCGAGGGTTCCCAAAACTGGTGCTTTTCTTTGCTCTCCCATTGGCACCACTGACCTGGCGGTCTCTGGTTTGGTACCGTGGATGGACCAAATCCATTTCGCACCACTTGGAAAACAGGGTTGAAACCACCGGTTTCTTGGTATTTCCCGGGGAATCGAAGCAGACACCAGGTGTTTCCTTTCCCAAATAAGGATTTTGCTGCATATATGCAGCAATTTGGCTCCACATACCAACATTGGCAAAAATAAGCATCGTGCCTAAGAAAACGGAAATCGCAACCATCCACAGCGGCAGCCGCTCTTTCGACTCAGGGCAGAAGCGCCGGCAGCTTCACGGGCCTCGGGCCCTTCCGGGAGGCATCCGTTGGGGCTCTATGGATCAGCTCATGCTGTGCATCGACTCGAAAACGTTATATATACATCATAATCTGAATATATATATATATGTATATATATATATATGTATGTACACACACACACACACTTTATTATGACCTTTTAGCCAGTTTAGTTTGGTCTTAAAGCAACAACTATCTTTTGTTTCTGTGAACTCAGAGCATATTCTTTGATTCCACGTTCCCCCGTTCCCCCCCCCCCCCCCCCAACAATCGTACATTTTTTGGCGCTGCTTTCAGAAAGTAGAGGTCAGTTTGGGAGACGACATTCAGAAGAGACCTCGCGGTTTGCGTCAGACGGACAAACAAGGATCGGTCGGGCGACAGGAAGGAGATTGATCCAATACCTGACGGGTGTTTTTTCTTTTGGGACCCCCCCTAATACAAAACACATTGGCGGTTTTACTTTTGGTTTCCTTTGGTTCTGAATTGATTGAGTGTTTCCAAGCCAGAGGTCAGGGTTCCACTTCTCTTTGGTAAGTTCTTCTTCCCCAAGCTCTGCCCTGCTGTTTTCAGGGGCTCTGGGACTGGGAATGGTCCTCGAACACGTGGAGCTTTGTTCGCAGGGCGGTATCCTGAATTCGCATCTCATGACGCAGATCGCCCGGAAGCCGCGCCAAGCGCAGCTCGGCGCGACATGGACTTCAATAGGGTGACTGTGTCAGATGAGGGTAGGTGACTTGTTGGAGAATGGTTGGGGCACCAATGCTTCCTTCGGAACGGTGTGTGTGTGTGTGTGTTTGTGTGTGTGTGTGTGTGTGTGTGTGTGTGTGTGTGTGCGTGTGTGTGTGCTCGAGCTGTCGAATAGGTGCCATGACCGATTCCATGACAAAGCTGAAACGGGCATCCCTGTGTTCAACTACATCAACGACAATCTGCCCGTGTCGAGCCTGGAGTAATCAACCTCCTGGATGAATAGGGGGGCATTGGCAGCAAGTAGTTTTGACCCTGGCTCATGTGCTTCCTAAATTTGGAATCCCCGCTTTGTGAAGGGAAACCACAACGAAACCCGGCCGTCCAAATCAAACCATCGCGCTTTTGACATTGTCATTTCTTTGCTTCCAGTTTTGCACCCCCCCAAAGCGGGTTCACGCGTCATACTTGTTCTTGCTGGCAGCTAAACCAATGCAAGTATATCTCAGCAAGCTGTGTAACCACTCCGGCTACGATTTTGGTCGGGCAAGTTCCCTGACGCAAATGCGTGTCCGAAAATGCCAACACAGTTTGCTTCCATTTGCTTTAGAGAATTTCTAGTTTCTCCTTATGTCGCAAATGGAAGGTTGGTTTCCTCAGCCAACCAAAGGAGGGCCCAAAACAAGGGGTTGAAGATGCCCTTGGACCCCCTCACAAACGCTTCCCGCTTCGCCGTGCCAAGGAGCTGGGCTCTACGTTTGCTTAAGAGGGAGCCCTTCGGGAGCTATTGTTGACCCCATACTCATCAACCCCTGTGTGTTTAAAAAAGGGGTGTCCCTGGGTTTAGTGGGGAAGCAACGCTTTTGGAGGGGCCCCCACCCCCATGTGAATAAACAGGGGTTGATTCATCCGGGGTCAACATTACTAGGAGAGTTGTAAGAACATAAGGCTTTTTTTTTGATCAACCAGAAGGATCCTCCAAATGGCCGTGAGTGTTCGAACGGGATCTTCAAGCGATTTCGCGGCAGAATCTCCTTGGCCTTTTCGCATCCCAACTTGAGCCCCCTGAAGGAAGAAGCCTTGATGTCCCTTTCCGCCCGCTGGTGCCCCTTTGCAGCTAAGGGTATGGGTCAAAATTAAACCACCCGACCGCAGGTTTTGGTCCATGCTTCCATTTACCAGGATCCCATTTTAGGTACATATGTTTGACCCACAGCCACAACAGCACGGGCGCCCTGCGAAGTCCCAAACTCCGCCAGTGGCTGGCGCGGGGCGTCAAGCGCCAGCGCGTCGCGGCGCCGGCTGCGCCTGCGGAAAAGACGGCGGTGCCGACAGCGCCGGTGGGGGATCCCGAGTTTGTGCTGCCAAATGGGAGGAACCACCCAGGGTGGTGGGTTTTCCTTATTGCCCTTCAAAACTAAAAAAGCAGAAAAGAGGGGTACTCAAAGTTTTTCTACCTTCGGCAGGAACATAGCACCTCATTGGCTTCCTTTGAGAGGAAGCTGATCTTCCAGCTAGCCTCCCACAGCTATGTCTCTGACAAAGAGCCGTTTGGGGGACCAATCCTGGTGACAAAATGACAGTTTTCCTACTGGTTTCCTTTGAACAGCAAACCAACAAATGGCATCCTTGAGACATACCCACCTGTGATAGACTCAAAATACTCGTCAAACACCCTGGTACTTGGCGTTGGTTAGGTCATCAAGCGAATATTGAGACACTCCCCAAGAACCATGGCCGATATGAGGAGTTCTTGACCACGGAAAATTTCGGGATCGAATCCCAAGTGGGTTGGTGTCCTTCCTATTTTCCTTGAAAACTACTACAAATTGACATGGGTTGCCCCCTTTTAGAGGGTCCGATTCCCAAAAGGAGTTTCCCTTGCATGTATATTTTTGTATACAATGTACCCCCCCCCCCACACAGAAAGACCACAAGCAAACATTAAAACTGGTTTTGTGAGAAAACACCGATATTTGCGGTGTTTTCTCACAACCACCTCCATCTGCCATAACTCATACTTTTCAGGCCAACTTTCTGCACCTGTCATAGCCTCTCATTTGCCAAACTAGCCAGTGCTGCAACCAAGCGCTATGATTGCGTAAGGGCATTTGTTCAAGGAAGCTGATGGCATGTTCAGGTGAACCCTTGGTTTTCATTTTGTCCAGATTTTTCAGTTTGTTCAGCCCTCAAAGCCAAGGATTTGGGGCCACATGCTGGGGGGAGGGGAGGAGCCCCCATGTCCTCCACGATCTTTGGTTTTTCAGTTTGTCTTTTTCCGAAGCAAGAGAAGCAGGACCCCAAGTACAAGCAGAACCGGTAGTTGAGGCAGCTCTTCCGTGGAGGAAAGCAAGTCTTGCCTTGAGAAGATGGAGACGAAGGTCAAAGTCAAGAGCGAGACCCAGGACACCCGGACGAAGGTTGAAGAAGGCTAAGCTGTGGAGCACAGAGCTCAAGACCAGCAGGACTTTCATTGTGTTGGATGGCGAGGCTACTCCCAGACGTGCAAGCGGACATGGTGCAGGAGGCAACGGCAGTTACGCGCGTCCCTCGTGGCTTTCGCCCCCCCAGAAGCGCTCTATGCATACCGCTTAGCTCGCTCTCTCCGACTTCCTGATGGTTGCTAAGTCCACCCCTTCCTCGGATTCAAAGAGGGGCAAAGGCCACGCAGCAGCCAAGAGGCCTGCTACGAAGAATGGGACGTGGGATGCTGTGAAGCACGCGAGGACAACTTTGCAGGCAGCTGCTTACAGCTGCCCCTTTGGATGTGGTGCACCTTGTCGGGGCTAAAGGGCATGCCAAAGCACCGGTGCCCCCATTGGAAGCGGTCTACGTCAACCCGCAGCGCCTGCGTCCTCCCTTCGCGGATGGCCGTGGCAGCAGCCCTCATATTGAAGTCTTCATGTCAATCACCAGATGATGGAGGACCTTGGCAAGAAGCCGCAAGGCGTGGATGGAGGGAATGAAGAACCACAAGTGGGAGGATGTCGAGTTGGGCGAAACTATGTTCGACCGCGTGAGCCACTGACCCCAAGAACCCGGTTGTTTGAGTGGCGCACTTCAGCGTGGCCGGCCGGTTACAAGACAAGGCTTTCCGCGGTCAAACGCGAGCCCCGTCACGAAAAAAAGAATGACGGTGAAGTCCGGGACACAGATGGTAGATCGGGCATGGAAGTATCTCAGGGAAAGGCTGACCGTCAATCAGGCTGACCATCAATGAGAACTCTAAGGTAGATCTTCCTTGTTGCGTGCAAAGTTTCGCCCCGCGTAGTATCATTTTTTGAAATCAGGACATGTGGGCTGCATCTGGGACGGTGCGAATGCCTACTGACTCAGTCCATCAAAAAGCCATCCCAGTGAGGCTTTCTTGAGGCTTGGTTCAACAGCAAGCTCTCTACCTCTGCGTAACTTGACGCTGTACCACTTGGCTCTGTGCCACTTGGCTCTGTGCGACTTGGCTCTGTGCCACTTGGCGTTGTGCCACTTGGCGTTGTGCCACTTGGCGTTGTGCCACTTGGCGTTGTGCCACTTGGCGTTGTGCCACTTGGCTCTGTGCCACTTGGCTGCGCAGCTTGGCTCTGTGCAACTTGGCTCTGTGCAACTTGGCCCTGTACAACTTGGCTCTGTGCCACTTGGCTCTGTGCGACTTGGCTCTGTGCCACTTGGCGTTGTGCCACTTGGCGTTGTGCCACTTGGCGTTGTGCCACTTGGCGTTGTGCCACTTGGCGTTGTGCCACTTGGCTCTGTGCCACTTGGCTGCGCAGCTTGGCTCTGTGCAACTTGGCTCTGTGCAACTTGGCCCTGTACAACTTGGCTCTGTGCCACTTGGCTCTGTGCGACTTGGCTCTGTGCCACTTGGCGTTGTGCCACTTGGCGTTGTGCCACTTGGCGTTGTGCCACTTGGCGTTGTGCCACTTGGCGTTGTGCCACTTGGCTCTGTGCCACTTGGCTGCGCAGCTTGGCTCTGTGCAACTTGGCTCTGTGCAACTTGGCCCTGTACAACTTGGCTCTGTGCAACTTGGCTCTGTCCAATTTGGTCCAAGGGCTCCGCACGGAAGAGCCCGTTGTGATGTTTTGGGAATAAACAAATGGCGTGTTAATCTTACAAACCCCCACGTCTCCACGCACATGCCTTCCTCTCAAGTCGGTGCAAGATGGACACCATGCATTTTCGGGGACCAACCGACCGGATCTGACTTTGTGGTTTTCTCTCTTGGTCTTATGGCCTCAAAAAGGCGGTCACCTATTTCTGGGTCCCTAAACGGGCAACTGAACCATGTGTCACTGCGTCTGAGGTGTCAGCCAAAAGCCGCCGCCTTGGACAAAGGGAGCACGGGGATGGGTATTCGCGTTTTTGCGGACCTGGACATGGGAAGTCTGCTGGGATTTTCATCATGCTAGAGGGAACCCTTCACCAATTTTTTGGAGGAATTTTGTGGCCGATTTGGGCCTACAGTTCATTGGCTTTTTTGGGTGGCGTTTAAACGGAGTCAGAAGGACACAGGCCATTTTGGCGTTCCCCTATTTGAGCGTTTTTCACATGCAGGGGGTGGTTCCCATGATTTCCCAAACCAACCCCTAACAGGGTATTCTCAGAAACGCACACCCGCTTCAACCTGTAAGAAGAGAACCCATCATCAAGAGAGAGGGGGCTCGCTGCGAAATCGAGTGCCGTTTCCGAGGTGCTGGGGGTGCTCCGCCCGCCCGGCTCGATTTGGTGCTCGAGTTGGGAGCGCGAAGGGCGAGTTTTTCTTCATTTGGTTTCTTCTTTGACGTTTTTTGTTTCCCCCTCTTTTCGGCAAGAATCCGGGGAAATCCGAAGGACTTTTTCGCTGTGTCAATGTCCCATGTGGATCTTCCTTTCAGTTGGATGTGAATTGTGCTTTGGTTTGGGTTGTTGAATTTGGTGGGGTGAATTGTGCTCATTGGGCTGGTTGGTTGGCTGGCTGGCTGGTTTGTTGGCGGCCTGGTTGGTCGGCTGGATGTTTGGTTGGTTTGGTTGCTTGGTTACTTGGCTGGTTGGTTGGTTGGTCGGTCGGTCGGTTGGTTGGCTGGTTGGTTGGTTGGTTGCTTGCTTGGTTGCTTGGTTACTTGGTTGGTTGGTTGGTTGGTCGGTCGGTTGGTTGGTTGGTTGGTTGGTCTATTGTCAGTTTGGGGAGGAGGCCCACCCAAGTTTTCCACAAGAACCAAGGGTTCCTTGTCCTGGTGGGAAACAATTCTTCCTTTTTCGGACGCCGAATGTGCTCCATCAGCCAAGGCTCGACCAGCCCCCTGTCAAAAGACTCTGCCTGGGTTCAACCGGATGGGTCAGCAAGCGTTGATGGAATTTCAATCTATCGCAAAGCATCCCAGCGGAACCAGACGGTGTCTCCCCTTTAGTTAGAGAGTGGGACGCCCTGCGGGCCCTGGTTTTACAGCGTTTTCAGCTGTTTTTAGCTTTTTTCCCATGCTGAGCACTTCTCTATTTTTCGCATGTCGTTGTTTTGGGCCCACCTTCAAGTCAAATGATCAGATGTCATGATTCCCTATGCTGAACACTTCTCTTCTTTCTCATGTCGTTGTTTTGGGGCCACCTCCAAGTCAACTTTCGAACGCTTCTCTTCTTTTTCATGTCTTTGTTTTGGCCCACCACGTCAAAATCTTAGATGTCATAATTCCCTATGCTGAACACTTCTCTTCTTTTTCAATTCTTTGTTTTGGGCCCACCTCCATGTCAATGTATTGAATGTCATAATTCCCCATGCTGAACACTTCTCTTCTTTGTCATGCCATTGTTTTGGGCCCACCTTCAAGTCAAATTCTCAGATGTCATGATCCCCATGCTGAACACTTATTTTCTTTCTCATATTGTTTTGGGCCAACCTCCAAGTCAAATTCATAGATGTCATAATTCCCTATGCTGAAGACTTCTCTTCTTTCTCATGTGGTTATTTTGGGCCCACCTCCAAGTCAAATTCTTGAATGTCCTGCTTCTCCGTGTTGAACACTTTTTCACTTGTCATGTCGCTGTTTTGGGCCCACCTCCAAGTCAAATTTTCGATGGCATACTTCCCCGCTTCGAACACTTCTCTTTCTTATCATGTTGTTTGTGGGCATGTCATGCTTCTCCATGTTGAACACTTCTCTTCTTTCTCATGTTGTTTGTGGTCCCACCTCCAAGTCAATTCTCAGATTCCATAGTTCCACACGTTCGACATGTCTCCGTCTTTCTCATGTCATTTTATTGGGCCTACCTCCAAGTCAAATTTCTTAGATGACACTTCCCCATGCTGAAGACGTCTCTTTGTTCTCATGTCTCTGCTTTTGGGCCCACCTCCAATTCATGTTTTTTACATGTCACAATTCCCCATGCTGAACACTTCTCTTCTTTCTCATGTCGTTGTTTTGGGCCCACCTCCAAGTCAAACGCTTGGATGTCATAATTCCCAATGTTGAACACTTCTCTTCTTTCTCATGTTGTTTGTGGGCCCACTTCCAAGTCAAATTCTGAGACGTCATGAATCCCCATGCTGAACACTTCTCTTGTGTCTCATGTCGTTGTTGTGGGCCCACCTCCAAGTCAAATTCTTAGATGTCATAAGTCACCATGCTGAACACTTCTTCTGCTTCATGTCGTGTTGTGGGCCCACCTCCAAGTCAAATTCTTAGATGTCATAAATCACCATGCTGAACACTTCTTCTGCTTCATGTCGTTGTTGTGGGCCCACCTCCAAGTCAAACTCTTAGATGTCATAATTCCCAATGTTGAACACTTCTCTTTTTTGTTTATGTTTTTTGGGCCCACCTCCAAGTCAATTCTCAGATGTCATGCTTTCCCGTGCTGAACACCTCTCTTCTTTCTCATGTCGTTGTTTTGGGGCCACCTCCAAGTCAAATTCTTAGATGTCAGAATTTCCCATGCTCAACACGTCTCTTCTTTCTCATTTTTTTGGGCCCACCTCCAAGTCAACTTCTGAGCACTAGCAAAGATTGTGAAACTGGATGCAACGATGGGCGGAAAGCCGAGCCAGCGTGCTATGCAGCCAGGTGGAGGTGATTATTTTGTTTTCAGTTGGACAGATGGCATGGAACGAGTTGCAGCAAACATATTAAAACGAAGACAACAAGTAAAAAGGACACTGTGCAAGCTTCTTTACTTGGCGTACAAGCTATTCCCAAACTCGTCCCCAAAGTTGTCCCCAAGTCGTCCCGGGTGGGGGGGGGGTCGGCAAATAAATAAAAAAATCAATTATATATTTTATTTGGCCGACCCCCCCCCCTCCCATCTCCAGAAACCCTCGAAACTGCGCCCATTTCAAACTCATGGCTTTGCGACCCCCCAAGATAAGCACAATTTTGACCTGCTCTTGTTATCTAATAAGGACAAACAAGACAAATGGAGTTGTCAAATGGAGGAACAAACCTCAATTCTGATAAATTTGCGTCACATGTCTGAAATCACCGCGTTTTCAGAAACACTGTAAAAAACAGGGGCCCCTATAGCGTCCCTTTCTGTTTAGTTAATCCCCAGCAGCGACCGATTCTTGAGGACACTCAGGCGGTTGGTGAAGCCGGATTCGCTCAGACGAATTTGACAAATGGACATAGCGCCCTCCCAAACGGATCCCCACAGAGCGTTGCTCTGAAAGTTCGGTCCTTTCAACTCTTTGAACTGGCATTCTCCTTGAAAACGAGGAGTTTTTTTTTGAGTTCTTGGAGTCCTTTCTATTCAAGAACCTTAAAAGGGTGTCCGGGACAGAAGGAGATTCCTCACAGGGCGTGCAACTTTCAGGTAACCCAAGCTTGGCGGGTGGACCGGACTCTATTATTTTTATTATTATTATTATTGTAATTATTATTGTTATTATTGTTGTTATTATTGTTATTATTATTGTTGTTATTACTATTATTGATATTATTATTGTTGTTATTTTCATTGTTGTTATTATTGTTCTTATTTTTATTAGTAGTAGAGTATTATTATTATTGTTATTATTACGTCGATTTCCGCAGGCCGGCCACACGGCCAAATGTCGCGGCCGCGGGGCCGCAGGGGTGCGGACTGTGCTGGGTGCTTTACAAGAATTTGGTTAACATGGACAAGCCAAAGGTGGCAACTTCGTTGGTTTCGGCTTTCAGCAACACGCGTCCAACTGGTTTTGACCCGTGACTCCGTTTGACAATCCGGCTGTCTTCAGTCAGTTGGTTCGCAGAGCAGGACATGTATGTCTCTTTGATCGCCAATAAAGTAAACGAGCAAACCTTTATTTTGTTTGGTTTTGAGCACCAGCCAGTTGGTATTGTCGTGTCTTGTTGGCGGCCACGTTTCGGGACTTTCTGGCCAGGTACGTTTGTGCACCCATACCGATAGCTGTCATTGGGGGTGTACATCGACGATCTATGTTTCTCTAGATGAAAGCTATAGGGGCTCAAACTTCAATTAGCAACGCTAAGGTACTCTTTCTATCTTGGACCTTTGCTGGGTGTTGGTTGTTGTTCCCCTCGTGGCGCCGAATGACAACTCGGCAGGTGTTTTGTTTGCCGCGTGCCTGACCGAAGTTCCTGCCTTTTTTTCCCTGATCACAGGCTCCTTTCAACCATTCCCATACTTCGGCAATTCATGCTATCACCTAGGAGTAACAGGGGCCGCCCATGAAGTACATTCAATAGGGGCTAGTTCTGGTTTAGGAGTTATATTGATTGGGCAGATTCCCATCGAATGCGCTTCCTCGCGGTCGTCTTGCTTCAGTCTTGGCGAATTTTCCTTCATCTTTTTCCCAAACCTGGTGTCAAGTTGAGGTGACAGTCCCAACCATAGGCACGGTCTGATTCCGGTCTTTGACTCCCATGGGTTCGGAAAGGACGCCTTCTCACTTGCGAATCGCAAGGCGAATCGACCGGATCTGACCGGATCTGGTTTTCCCTTGGTCCATTTGTCGTGGCAGAAGGTTAAGCTTCTATTCATTGATCCTTTGGGCAACTGAGTTAATTTCAGGTTATTCCCCAGACACCTTGCAAGCCCAATCGCTCAAGGTGCGTTTCCTTTTGGTGAGGTGATGCTTGGTTAGAACTACTTGTGTTCTTGGACACCAAATGGAAGCCGCTCATTTTCTTTCACGTGCGTGAAATTACTGTATATTTGTACATGCAGTTTGTTGGTTTTCTAAAGGGAATCGATTTCACCACTGGACATATGTTCTCATTTTTCCCAGGGACTTCTCTGCAAATGGGTGTATCTTTCTTTGGTCTTGTTAAGGCCGGATCAAAGGCCGCCATGGGGAAGCGTCAGCTCCCTTCTGGCTTCCGTCCCTGTCTTCCCAGGCGAAGCAGAAGGCGGTGGCGAGGGTGTGGGGCGCTCAGAGCGCCGGCTGAGCGTGCACTCAGGCGGGTCACAAAAGATTTTTCATTTTGGGTGAGACATTCCCATATGCACTTTGGGAGGTGTCTTTCCTGATGACCCAGGAAGAGAGCGCGGCCTGGGTGAGTCTGCAGCTATCATGCTCTTGGACACCCGGTTTGAGAGAGCATTCTGCTCCTGAACCCAAGTCATTCCGCAAGCACACAACCCCCTACTTCTAGACGTACCCATCATTGAAAAAGGGAGTCTTAGCCCGAAGCATCGAGAGATGCGGTTGTAAGGGGCGCCTCCATCTTTTTGCAGGTGTCCAAATGACAGGAGTTGCTCAACCATTGATGGGTTTCTTCTGACAGAGAGGAGCACCACGAGAAAGCCGACTTGGGAAGAACATCCCCCCCCCCCACCCCCGGAAAGCTTCCAAGAACTCGTTCTAAGGTTCTCTGGGTGGGGGCCTTGCTTTCCTCCCTGCTGGTGGAAAACTGATAAGGCACACCTGCCCCCTTGTGAGGTACAATACTGATGAGCATGGGAACTGAGACGAATTCAGTCACGATCATAGGGGACTCTGCGGTGTAGTTGTCTTAGACACTTTCATTACAATATCCCTTACTTACCCCTCGGTTCCCCCTTGCTTACTCCTTGCTTACCCCTTACCCCTTGGTTACCCCTTGCTTCTGGATACCCCTTGAGAAAAGCAGCTTGGTGACCCCTTTGGTCTCCGCCCAATGCTTGGGCCGTCTGCGCAATCCACCGGCCTCGTGCCTTCGCCTCGAGAAGTCCTCCGATGCCGCGGCGACAAGGGGCCGCCCGCGCGCGGGCGGGCGCGCTGGGCCGGGCTGAGCCTGGCGCCTTTTGGCGAGCCTGCGAAGAACGTCCAAACAAATCAACATCAGTTGAGTCGCAATCAACACCCGGGTGGAATGGTTTGGGTAGACTCCTTTGCCAGGTTTCGATTGTGGCTCGGTTGGTGTGCCCATTTCGGGGAGGGAGACAGGGCACGAACGCAGTGGTTGAACTGCAAATACTGACCGACGACCGAGCTCAAGTAAAACGAGCTGGAAGGTTTGGGGGTTTCTTGATTCCCAACTGCAGAATCAGAAATGGTCGATGGTACACTAGGTTTCGAAGGGACACCAAAAGGAAAACAACCGCAATTTTTGGGGGAATCCCCCTAACAAAGACTCCCAAGTCGGCACATTGCCCGGCAGCTTGCGTGAGGCTATTCCCCGCGCAGCGGCCCCGGCCTCTCCTCGCGTTGCGCGCGCTGCGGCGCCGGGGTGCGGCGGTTGGTGGGGCGGCGGCAATCTTTGCGGCGCCGGATCCGTGCCGCGCAGATGCGGGGCTGGCGACTTGGCTGGGGAGTTGGTCTGAGCATGGGCGAGTCTTTTCTGAAAGGGTAGCCTTTAATTAGAGTGGTTGTTCAAAGGGAAACCAATTTAAAAGGAAACTAACCATTTTGACCTCGGTTCCATATTTGGAGAATGCACACGAGCCATGGTCAACACCCCTGTTTGGCCAATCCCTTGTTTAGGGGTTGTGGTGAGGCCAAGATCCTGGTTCAGTGTATAGTCATTGTCGTGAGGTGTATTTCTGACTTTGCACAATAGGAAGCCACCCCTGGAAATCGTAGGATCACCCAGATTAGTCGACATTATCACCATCCTTATACAACCAGACGTCTTGCCTGAGGGACGCGTCAGGTGAAACTCGCAGACCCTGCCACCTACTCCGCGCTGTGCTATACGCCGGAGGCGCCGAAGCCTGAGGGTGGCTGGCCGCTGCTGTTGGTTCTGCCGGGAGCCGGGCGCAACGACAAGGAGGGCGCGGCAGGCCAAGGGTGCTCCAAGCCTTCTTCAGATGACCAAGGTGCAGCCTTTTTCAATGTTGGGTTGGCAGCTTTGTTCGTCGTTTTAGCCAAGGCCCAAGGCGATCAGCTGTTTTCTGGCAGCCTATTGGATGGGGCTTTTGCCCTACCGGCGAATTGCCAGCGCATGCTATGTATCCGAGCGCATGTGCAACAATGTTATACGCCCGTAAGGCTTGTCTCTTTGCTTGAAATTGCCTGTTTGTCAACTTATCCTATGAACACATTCATAAGTGCAGAGGTACGGAGTTGCATGCCCAGAGATGATAGGACGCCTGGGACCTGGCCAACGCGCGCGGGGAGCACGGGGGTCTGCCGCCCAGCCTCCTCTCGAGCGGAACTGCCCCACCGGAGCTGGCGATGAACTTTGCGGTGCTGGCGGGGTGGGCGGGGCTCTGGGGGGTTGAGGAGAGCGGGGGTGCAGTATGTGTTCTCTTATCGTCATTGAAAAGCGGCATGCCCAATTTTTATTTGAACATCTTGGGATCCGTTGGTTAGAACCTATTTTCGGGTCACCCGCCTTGACTGCCTTGGGAAAGTTGCCTTGCTCCCGGCTTGCATTGCGGTGTTTTGGGGTGATTTCGCTGCTATCCGAGGTGTTGCAGCCGTTGGAGCGCAGTATTTCAGCTACAGCATCCACAGCATGATAGGTGTGTCTCAAATTACATGAGCCCCACTAGGTGGGCGTGTTTCCTTGGATCACTTCAGAAAACGACAGACCCATTTTTACCATGGGTTCGGAATCCTTTGCCTTGGGGTTCGGCGCGCCTTCAACGACAGGGTCGCTGGCCTCGTTTGTCTCTGGTGAGGCGCCCTATGCATTGGGCAAGGGGAGCTTCTATGAGGAGCCGAGGAAGAAGATGCTGCAGTTCCTCGCGACTTGGATGCGTTGGCTGAGAAGAATCTCTGAAGGCCAACTAAGGTTCCCCTTAGGTTTGGATTGGTGGTTTGGATCTGGATTTTAAGCCCCGCAACCTTCCTTTCGGGCTGGCTGAGACATCTTTTGGGTGTCTCAAACAACCTCAAAAGGCACGGAAACAACTCCATCAAGCTTTGGGGGGCCCCCAAAACGGTGGTTTCCTTTTAGTTTCCATTTGACAGCCACCAAAAAGATGCGGGGGGAGCCTCAATAAGCGACACACCCAGCTTGGCCTTGGGCGCTCTTCAGGACTGGGCCTGCAGCGAGGATGGCCGCGCCCAGGCGCCGAAGCCCGGGTTCCACCGCAACCTTTGGCTCACTCTCCGATTTGTACCCCATGGACTTTGGCCACTGCTTGGACTGTTTTTGGCAAAGCAACGGATCCTTTGGGCGGCTCCCCTCTTTGCGGGGGCCCTGGAGGAAGGAGGTACAATCAAAAATCACACATGCCCATACATCTGCAAACTCATGAATCGCCTCGAACCTGCAGAATTGAGGGATTACGGGATCCCCAAGTAGGGGACCAATTGAACAGAAAGTTGTCTGTGCCCTAAACATGGTGTTGTAATGCTGTGGACAGCTTATTGGGGTCATTTTCCGCAACATGAAGTCCCAAAGAGACTTTTTTTTTGGTCGGCGGGACGGTTTTCCGCAAGCCCCCCACAATTGCAAGCCTTTTGGGGGATATCCAAAAAGGAGACTCTTATGGTCATCTTCATTTCGGATACTCCGGACCATAGCACAAAAAAGGGATATGACTCCCCCACCTTGTGGGGCCACCTCTGATCGACGAAGTCGACTCTCCCGATGCCTGGCAGCGAATCCGGTCGCTCCTTTGCAGGGGGCGCCTTTCGTGGACACGGCCCGGATCTTTCTCTTCGGCTTCTCCGATGGCGCCACCGAGGCCATGGAGCTCGCGAGCACCAGGCAGAGACCCTTGGAGACCTGGGGGGATTTCGGCTGGGAGGGTCGCCTTTTTTTTGGGCGCTATGCTCATTTTTGTGTTTTACGGGGAGCCAAACGGGACACCACCAGGTTTGTTGGGGGGGGGGCTAAAAAAGAAGAAAAGACACACTGCATGTGTCTGGTGGTTTGTTCTCCCGTTGTGGGCCAAGTTTCGCTGTTTCCCCTTGTGGAGTTTCTTTTGCGCCCGTGTTGTTTTTTTTTATTCTTCTTCTTTTTTGTTTGTTTTAAAACCGTCTGGGCTTATGTGTGGTGGTTGTGAGATTTTGTTGGCGCATTTGCCGAGGGCCCAAAATCCCCGGTACGAATTTGGAGCAAAGATGGCTTTTGCCCCTTTGGGAAACTTGTTGCCTTTTCCGTCTTGAAAGGAATTTCAGCACTGGTAAGTCTCATGCGTGCGGATGCCATGCAAGATGCAGGCAGGCTGACAAATGTTACAAATGTCCATGGCTGTTCTCCCTGCCAAGAAGAAGCTGAAGAAAGGATCCGAGTGGCCGCAATTTTCTACCACGACGGCTTTGCGAAACATGGAGAAAGACGCCGCAACAAAGTCGGGCTCCAAATGTTGTTTTGATTTTGAGACAGAATCGGAAAGTATTGGTTTTGGGGAAATTACTCCAGATGTTGGGCCAGGGTTAGCCAAGACAGCCGTATTATTTGGACTCCTCCTTCAACGCCTTCAGATGCTTGGCTTCCAAGCAAAACAGACCATGAGAAAATCCGACTATGTACCCAAAAGGTCCAAGTCAGATTGTGTACCCCAGGTACTAACATGGTCCAAGATAGATTTTACAAACTGCAATCCCGGCCTCGGTTCCCCACCGCTTGGAGTGCCCCTCAGCCGCGCCTGTGGAGTAGGCGCTTCGCGGGCGGCGTGGTGGCAGCCTACGGCTTCACCGGGGAGCTGCCGGCCTTGGCGTGCCAAAGGCTCAAGGAGATCCCGGTCTGGGCGGCTCGCAAGGAATGCGGGGAGCTCGCGAGGACCCTTTCTTGTTTTGCGGAAGCGGGGGGGTGGGGGGTGGCCCAGTTTGGGGTATGGCTTAATGCACGTGTCCTACGAGTGGTTTATATATAGCTTGTGAGCACCTGGGTTTCTTTTTGGGTGGTGGTGGGGGGGGGGGGGGCGAGAGCTTGTCCTTCCAAGACCCCAAAGGACCGGCGAATCTAGAAAACGGTGTAGATGTGGCTTTTGCGGATCTAGCCCTGTAGGATACTGAAAGAGTGCCAAAGGTTCGCTAAGAAAGGACCAACAGGGGGAAGACTGGGGGAAATCCACAAACAGCGCATCCAAACTGTTTTCTAGAGCAGTGTCGATTTTTTCGTTGAGGGCTTCCTTCTTGGGGTGAGTTTCAAGGGGAACCGATCTTTTTTTGGGTGATCAAGAATCACCATGTCATTCAATTTGGGGTTGATGACCGTCCCCACGAGCCCATGGCAGACGGGCCATTCTGTCATTGCCGATGTTACTTTTGATGGACACGCTGGACGATATCTTGAGGCGAGCTTCCCACAAGGTACAGAGAGACACAGAAGGTCTTGCGTGCCATGACGCAGCGCTTGCTTCGCTTTGCGAAACAACGGAAGACTCTGCCCAAAGCATTGCAAGCTCACGCGCACACACACACACACACACACACACACACACACACACACACACACACACACACACACACACACACACACACACACACACACACACACACACACACACACACACACACACACACACACACACACACACACACACACACACACACACACACACACACACACACACACACACACACACACACACACACACACACACACACACACACACACACACACACACACACACACACACACACACACACACACACACACACACACACACACACACACACACACACACACACACACACACACACACACACACACACACACACACACACACACACACACACACACACACACACACACACACACACACACACACACACACACACACACACACACACACACACACACACACACACACACACACACACACACACACACACACACACACACACACACACACACACACACACACCACACACACACACACACACACACACACACACACACACACACACACACACACACACACACACACACACACACACACACACACACACACACACACACACACACACACACACACACACACACACACACACACACACACACACACACACACACACACACACACACACACACACACACACACACACACACACACACACACACACACACACACACACACACACACACACACACACACACACACACACACACACACACACACACACACACACACACACACACACACACACACACACACACACACACACACACACACACACACACACACACACACACACACACACACACACACACACACACACACACACACACACACACACACACACACACACACATGGAGGGTAAAACAAGCTCCGGCCCCCAACGAGCTCCCTCTCTGTGAATAGAACCATTGTGTCTCAAAGTGGCCGGGCGCTCGCAGGTCTTCCACTCCGCGGACGACGCGATCTTCCCGGTGGCCTGCAGCGACAAGCTGGTGCGAAGGCTCCGCGAGGTGAACTCCCGCCGCTCGCAAAGGACCTGCCATGAAATTTTCGTTGATTTCGCAGACCTTACTAGGGTTAACGTTTGGTAATCTCTTGCATCTTTGCCGTTTGAATTGAACCGCTGCAACGGTGATGGTGGCAGAGATTTAGATAGACATCCTAGGTTTGGGGGTGATGGTCTCCCTTTGCGAAGACGGGTTCCAGAACCCGGCCATAGGTGACGTGGTGCGGTACACGCGCTTCGACCAGGACCAGGAGGCCGGCTCGAGCCGATTCGCGGGCGGATTGGTTTTGAAGGGAACCTTTCACTGGACATACTCTCTGGAGGAATGGGAAGGACCCGCGGTCAGGCCCCAAATTACATCATAATGCTTTTGGTTTCTATGAAATTTGTAACCCAAAGAAGGTTCCAACCATCTGTCCCTTTCCTCCCTTATGAACCTGGCTCCCTAAAATTGAAGCGAACGCGTGTCCAAGAACTCAGAAGGTTCTATCAACCTGTCCCTTTCCTCTCTTATCTTGGTGATTTCCGGGCCATCCCTGGTAGGTTTTTAGGTTTTTAGGGTTAAGTGGTTTAGTTTCCACTAAACCCCAAACAGTTCGCCTCTCCTTTTAGGGAAGCTACGCAGCAGCCCAGTTCTGAAGCTGTCTGGTGAAAGACATCGCGCAGGGCTTCACGGGCTCAGTGCGGGGCCACAGCACCGGCATCACCGCGGCGAAGACGGCGGAGGTCTACCGCTGGCTGCTGTCCCTGGGACGGCTACCTTCACTGGCCTCGAGGCCGGGCTCCTGGGTTGACGGCAGAATAGGATTCGGGACCGCAAAAAAAGTGGTTGGTTTCCCCGGGAAAAAAGAAGAAGCAAGCACCAAAAGGGCAAGCACGAACTGTGCTCGGGTACGACCCCTCTTCATGTTGGGTCATACACTCTTGGACCCCTGACCCCTTAGAAAGGAGTCTTACTCAGGATTCTTGGACCCTTATGACCATGACAAGGATTCTCACAAAGGGAAGCAAGATCATGGCACACAGATGCGGAGTGTTGACCACATATCCTTTTTGGTTGCAGTTGCCGAAAGGAGGCAAAAGTCCGGGTGCCCCTTTGACCTTTGCTTTGCAACCCTTTGGATTTCCCTTTGAAGTGCGCTTTTCCGCTTTCTGGGACACCAATGACCAAGCGAGGTAAGACCGAGCAACGTGCAGCTGTTGGCAAGCGGCGGAAGGGTGGCGACTAACTGGCTGAGTTCGCACCTTCGGCGCGGCGTTCGCAACGCTGGAAGGTGCGGTGGATGGTTTTGGTGGCTGGTTTTGAACCCGGGAGGCCCCCAACAATTGTTTGGGCTAGACGTGGTCCGGCAAGCAACTGTCGATCTACCTGGAATTATTCATTAAATTGGAAAGGCTGCTTGGACGATATTTCAAGGGAAACTGCCAATTGAAGTGACCTATGTGAAAGTATGTCTTTTTGCCGTCCTGCAGATTTACAGGAAGGAGGAGCCCAAAAAGAAAAAGAGGCTCCCTTTGCCCAAAAGGAGATTCCAACACAAAAAAGGGTTCTGTTAGGTTCCATTTGTAGGTGGGAAGCCGCATTTGGTTTTGCGAGGCTTTGGGCTGTTCCGGCGTTTTGGAGATACCTGGGCTTGTTTTGTTTTCGAAAGGCAAAGACAAACGGGAGACCTTGAAGAACAAACCAGCCAGGGCACCAGCCCGGTACTTTGAGAGTTCATTGACTCGCTTCATAGCTTCACAACTCAACCACTCTTCCCCAACCATTTACTAGTTGGTCAATGGCACCCTTGTCTGCTTTTTGTTTGGGGTCTTCCCTGCCAAACAATGGTCAACCCCCAAAAGAGTTCTCGGTTGCTACCAGGGGTCACAGAAGGATTGGGGGTTTTCCTTGGCCACGCGAGGCGGGAGCTGCGTCAAAGCTTCGACGGTTTCCCCCCGGGCTCTCGTTTCACCTGAGCCGCGAGATCCGAGCAATGCATGCGAGCCGACTGGACGGCGTGCATGGAAGACACAAACAAAGTTTCGGTCATAGGTGTCTCGGGGCCATCTACTTTGCGTATTTGGTCACCTATTGTTTCAGTGCAACCTTGAGTATGGCGAGTTTGCTGCCATGTTTGTCCCGGCAATCCCGGTTTGACTCGTTGACTCTGGTGCCGAGGCCGCTGCACCAGATTAACAACGGCAATGCCAAGGCGGAGTGAAACGAGAAGATCCCAGAAAAATATCGCGGAAATCTCCAGATCATGTCCCAAGGTTTGTGTACTGGTCTTGAATTTCCCCAGAAAGGCCAACTCGACATTTGAGTTTGCTGTCCCTGGGCTGATTTGAGGGCCGTTCTGTAACCAGGAGGGGCAGGGGCGGGGGGGGGGGGATCAGAGGTTTACAGCCCCAAGTCAGAGGCTGAGGCCTTGCATGCATCGCTAGATGAGCTACTCCCCAACAAACGAACATGGTTTGCCGCAAAAAAGGGGTCCAGAAAGGGAGAACCACCTGACAAAATGCAGGCGCCCGCTCGATTGGTGTCGACTGATTTTCCTGGACCAACTGGGATTCCGCATTCCTGCAAAGAAACAGCAGCCGGCCAGTTCGAACATCACCAAACCAAATTACTGGCTGATCTGCAGGATTTGCTGCACAGCTCAAAGCCATGTCCTGCCCAGCTCGCCTGTGAAGGATGCGCTTGTTTGTGGCATTCCGCGTCTCTGATTTGGGCGTGATTTCCCGAACGCGTGCAGACCAAATTGGGGTAGGCCCATTTGAGAGAGAGAGAGAGAGAAACCGCATATCTTCTAAGTGCATTTTAACCCTGGATTTCTGGAAAAGTATGTGTGCGTGTCAAAAGAAAAGCTAGGGTATATTTCGCAAGCAATGACACCCCTGCCTAAATTGGCGACAAGTTGCTGCTGGGAGAATAGTAGCTGGAGCAGTCCATGCCATGTCTGCTTGTTTTGGGCCCTTCCTGTGTGAATCTTGACAGGTTCCTAATGTTCCTTTCTTTGGTGGTGGTTTTCAGCATCACTTTTAGGCCCATTTAGATATGACCTCCCCATTGGTTGTCCCTTTGGTCTTCCTTACAACCGACCACAAAAGGGGAATTCTTGACCCCAGATGAATAAACCTATCACGCCTCTTTTTGGAAGGGTGCACCCTTCCAAAAGTGAAAAACAAAACACATAATGGGGACACCCCCCAATTTCTCAACCAGGGGTTTGTAAATCCAGGCTTATTCCCCTTCCCATTGTAAATCCGGCGTTCCCTTTACCAAAGCCGAGCCACCCATTGGGTCCCAATGAGCTTTCTCGCGGCTTGAGAAGCACTCCAGCGCAGTCTGATCGCCCGGCCATCCACGCGGACGGGTGGAGGGCTTCAGGGTGCTTTGTTTGTTTGTGTGTTTGCTTGAGTTGATTTGATTTGATTTGTTTTGATTTGTTTGATATAATTTGATTAGTTTGTTTTTTTACTTGTTTGATTTAATTTGATTTGTTTGATTTAATTTGACTTGTTTGATTTAATTTGATTTGTTTGATTTAATTTGATTTGATTTGATTTGATTTGACTTGTTTGAATTAATTTGATTTGATTTGATTTGGTTTTGTTTTGATTTGAGTTTGTTTTGATTTGTTTGATTTAATTTGATTTGTTTGATTTGATTTCTTTGATTTGATTTCTTTGATTTAATTTGATTTGATTTGTTTGATTTCTTTGATTTAATTTGATTTGCTTAATTTGATTTTTTTTTGACTTGATTTGTTTTGTTTGATTTAATTTGATTTGTTTGAATTGATTTCTTTGATTTGATTTGTTTGATTTAATTTGATTTGTTTGATTTAACTTGATTTGTTTGATTTCATTTTTTTGTTGATTTCATTTGATTTGTTTGATTTAATTTGTTTTGATTTGATTTTGTTTTGTTTTGAGTTGAGTTGAGTAGAGTTGATTTGATTTGGGTTGATTAGTTTGGTTGGGTGGGGCGGGGCGGGGGTTGGCTTGAGTTGGTTGTTGGTTGAAGGTTGTTACGCATGCTGTGGGCATCTTGGGTCCGCCTTGCATGTCAGAGGTTGACCTCAGCGACTGTTGCCTTTTGTACGCTCCAACCCAGACCTGCCGTTTTGGGTTTCCGAAACAATTTTCCAGCAAAGCAAGTTCAACTTTTTGCGTGTCGAAGCCTGGCCCAGATCTGTCAACCCAAATGATCAGAAGCCTTGTAGCGGTCCATTGTTGCCCAAAGCCACACTTTTTGCCGAAATGGGTCCGTACCACTCTGCGCAAATCACAACACGCGTACCGGTTTGGGGCTAGAACGAGCTCACACAGGACAGCACGGAGGTCCTTTACTTCAGTCTTGGCCAGAGATTCAGACTCTTCGCCTCTTGTTCCCACCATGGAAGTGGACGGGGTGTTCCCCAAAAGGAGAACTTCCAGAGCCCTTCTGTCAGTCTCTGTGATGGTTCAAGCTAGGGTTACTAGGAGACATAGTGCTTACGAAGTTCGTAGCACTCACACTTCGGCTTGGTGGCCAGCTGGACAACCACCCCATTGCCAACAAAGCGCTGTGGGCTGCGTTGCAACATCGGGCTCTGGACTTTTCCTTGCGATACATCCTCCCTGTCTGGCAGGAAAATGCATAAATTGTTGGCTGAATCCGACTACCCAACCAATGTGGTGGACGCATTTGCAGCTGCTCGATGTCAGCAAATGGAACCCAAGATGGGGGTATCAATATGGCTCGCAGCACGCGTCCAGTGACGAAGTGCGTAGTTAATGTGCACCGCGTTGTTTTTTGTGCTCCCTCTTTTTCTGTTCCATTGGGGACGGGGTGGGAAACCATGATAGAATAGATCCATACAGTTTACTTGTGGAAACTGGGCGTGCCCTTTTTCAGAGCTCCTTTTTGGTTGGTTTTTGCAGGGAATCCAGAAACCACCATTTTTGTATCAAAAACCGACAGCTTCAACTGGACCTGGTTTTTGAGGAGCTGCTGCAGAAGCAGCGCACCTGCCTGAAGAAGGCGGGACAGGGTCCAAAATGGCTGCCAAATGGCGGGGAGCTGTGCCATAGAGACCTAGAGTCCTAGAGTCGCAAGCAGGAACTGCCGTGGGTGTTAACTTATGATCCGTTTTACTTTTGAATAGAGATTGATCGACGTTTCGCTGGTGTAGACATTTGCTTTGCGCCATCCATATTCCAGGGAAATCCATTTTGCCAAGAGGACACCTTCGACAGGAAATAAACAAAACAACACGGTAAAAGAAGGAGGTTGCATCAGGAGCCCAAATGGACGAGACTTCCGGGCAGAACCACAAGTGAACCGTGGCATCCTACCTTTTTGGGTTTGTTTCCACATGGTGGACACATGGCCTGTGGCTCAAAACAAGTGGGTAAATGGAAACAAGGACAAAAACACCGCGTAAGCCTAGGTCTTTAATCTTGAGCCACACCCACATCCGGAATGTGCGGTTGCCCTTTAGTGTCCCTTACAACACAAACCCTCAACAAACCGAGCAAAGGCTAGGATCATTGGCAATGTCGACCCTGCATCGATAAAGTCCAATTCCGGGTAGCGTTTGCGGTCCTTTCCTTTGGAACGGGAGTTTCTCAAACTAGAAATCCCCTTTTCTTGCTGGTGTTCAGAGAATGACCCAGGTTTTGGGAATGAACCGGAAGGGGATTCCCTTAAGGAAACCAGTCATTCCCCCCAGCAAGTTTGGTAGAATAAGAAAATAGTCTCGGGTCCCAACTCCTGGTGCCTTCTACCAGGCACCCGGACAAGGGCGGCCAGCCCCAAATCCCGGCCATGCCGGCAAGGACGGGCTCGTCCGGGGTTTGGGCCCGTTTTGAGCCCAGCATCCAGGATTCCCCAGATGCGGTTCGGTCGGAATGTCCTGATTTGTAGTGATACAGTTTCCGGCAAGAAGGGCCAAGTAGTCGTGACTGCGGCTCATACGTGCCAGGGCCAAAACCATTTCATGCTTAGGGTGTGTAGGGCCAGGATGGTCACAGGGGTTCTAGACATGCAAGAGTCTCTAGAAAGATTGCCATGACCATTACACACAGAAGGAGTCAAATTACCCCTCCAGTTGGTGTCCTTGGTATTTGCATGTGAAACCAACAAAGAATAAGGTTCCTCATTTTGAAACAGACCAATATTTCCTCTTTCAGGGTGGTTTTGGACAATACCTTTTGGACAAATTGTAATTCATGGGGTGGTGTGATGCTAAAGGGGGAGGGGGGGAACCCTGATCCAGCCATCGGCCAAGAGACCATTCTTGGCTTAAAGAGAAATCACAGAGCCCAACATGTCAATGTGTCAATGGCTGCAGTCTTCCCCTTTGGGCTGGCTTTGATCAGACATCATCAAAACACCATATGTATATACACACATACAATACATTTGTCCTGCACACGACATGTACACGTACATATGTACATATGTACGTATATTCGCATACACATATGAGTATGTGAAGGTACATGCGCACAGGCGTGCCCAAACAAACGCATTGTGAATTCCCCAGGACAGGATTTCATGATACCATTGGGTGCCAAGGCAAACTTGAGTCATCCCTGAGGTCATGGACTTTACACTTTTTGGGAAGACCATTTTAGTGGCAAACCAAAAGTTTAGACTTTTTCGGCGAATCTATTTGGGAAGTGAGATTTGGCATAGTCATCCCGGAAATTCGATATATACTCTTTGGAGCCGGCGAGCGAGCGCAAACCATTTCGAGGAGAATCTCGGCCCAAGTCGCACAGCAGGCCAGGAGTGGGAATGTGAGGCAGGGGGTTAGGGGAAGTACAGCTGACACTAAACCATGTGCGCGCGCGCGGGTGTGTGTGTGTGTGTGTGTGTTGTGTGTGTGTGTGTGTGTGTGTTTGTGTTTGTGTTTGTGTTTGTGTTTGTGTTTGTGTTTGTGTTTGTGTTTGTGTTTGTGTTTGTGTTTGTGTTTGTGTGTGTTTGTGTTTGTGTTTGTGTTTGTGTTTGTGTTTGTGTTTGTGTTTGTGTTTGTGTTTGTGTTTGTGTTTGTGTTTGTGTTTGTGTTTGTGTTTGTGTTTGTGTTTGTGTTTGTGTTTGTGTTTGTGTTTGTGTTTGTGTTTGTGTTTGTGTTTGTGTTTGTGTTTGTGTTTGTGTTTGTGTTTGTGTTTGTGTTTGTGTTTGTGTTTGTGTTTGTGTTTGTGTTTGTGTTTGTGTTTGTGTTTGTGTTTGTGTGTGTGTGTGTGTGTGTGTGTGTTGTGTGTGTGTGTGTGTGTGTGTGTGTGTGTGTGTGTGTGTGTGTGTGTGTGTGTGTGTGTGTGTGTGTGTGTGTGTGTGTTTGTGTGTGTTTGTTTGTGTGTGTAAGTTTGTATGTACATACCACATACACCGCATCCCAGCATGGTGCTGGACGCTGAGCGGGCTTGGCTTGCACCTGCAGCGGCACATTGAGCCAGGCGGCCGTTGCTTCTCTCGACGGCTTACCGAGTGCCTGGCTTGCCCCCTTGCTGGCTGACGCTGCCGTCTCCATGCCGGACGTCCCACTTGCGCTGCAAGTGATGGTCATGTCTTTCTGTATTTGGTGTTTACATGCAAGTGGCGATTCATAGGTGTGAGTCGTGGGGCAGCGCACAGCCGCAGCCTCAACCCCAGCCCGGGCCCTGTGTAGCCGGCAGAAGTTGGGCGGCGGGTCTCGCTTCAAAGTTGTGGATATTTGGAGAGCCGAGCCAGTCCAAGGCAGGACAGAGCCAGCGGAAAGCCATTTTGGCTGGGGCTACGTTTAAAAGGCTCTCTTTGTCGAGGCGATTGGGGCAAAGGCTGAGCTGCGCAGGAAATGAGTCGAAGAAGGCGTGGGGGGCGGAGCTGTGATATGAATGATCGAACCGCTTCTGGCCTGCCGGCAAGCCCTTTGAAGCTAGCCGTGAAGTGTCCAGATCCTTCTTGAGCTCGCCTGGGCGATTGTTGCGCGGCTCAATCCCCTCTGAAGCAAGCCCGGTCCAGCTACTTCGAGCTCCAGTTCCTTCACTGTAGCCTCCTTTGCGCCCAGGCCAGCCCTGCAGCCTCACCTAAGCTAATGGGGTCTGACCGCTTCCCGGCCCTGGGGGCTGAGGCGAATCTGTATGCACTGCTGCCCCATTTGAAAACCCATATGACCCCCATCTCAATACAATAGGGGCGATCAAAGGCGCCTGAAAACCCTATCGGTTAAATCATGGAAATTACAGGGATTATATCGGCTGACCCATGACCACCATGCAACAATGGTGTCAGTCGATCATGTCTGTGAGATTGCTACACTTGCCCAGTGGCCATGGGAAAGAACAACATCCATGTTTTTTACAACGCGCCCCGCTTTCAAGAAGGAGAAGGGGGTTTGACGCCCAACGCAGGATGTTTTTGCAAGGCGGTTATTGGGGTCTGTTGGGAGCGCCTCGAAATTTTTGCCTGGAAGCTGGTCCCTTTGGGCAGCACCAGTCCTTGGTCGGACGTGGCTGTGTTTGGGTGGGAATTGGCGTGTCTCGCCTCGTGGTTAGTCTCCTCTTGGCTTCCTTTTAGTTTCCATCCAAAAAGGGGCTCGCATTCTGAGCCCTGATGTCAGGTTTCGGTGCCGATAACCTCGTGCTCAAGCGGTTGAAGGCGCGCCGAAGTTTTGTTTGGTTGCGAGCTTTCACTTGGGGCAGGAGTGGGTAGAAACGCAACACCGGATTCAAACAACCGTGGTTGACTAGTAGGGGGTGTCCTCTTGTTTAGTCGGGGCCCGTCACGTTCGCAGGGGAACACCACCCTAGGACAGGTTCTGCTTAGATCTGGGTTTCCCACTAGGTACGCCCTTCTTTAAGGGTGCAAGTTTCGAGGTTGGCACTTTCGAGAGACATTTTTTTTGTTGCATTCGGGGCGCGAATGATCCGATGAGCTATCGCTCTTATTTTCTCTCGGTGAATACCCTCTTTCCAACAGCCATGGAAGTGGACAGAAGGGTTCTCCAAAAGAAAGTTGTCTTCCAAAAACCATGTCAGCTTGCAGCTCCCTTGATTTTCCAATCAGATTTGTAGTGGAGCCATGCGAGCAGTGCATTTCGGGGGAAGGACTAGGGGTGGGGGACACTGTATTTTCCGAAGAGGGACCGTGACATCTCGAAGGGAATGTTGTCAGATGGGCAGAGCGAGTCATTCCTCATTCCCCGAGTTCCTTTTCGGACTTTAGTCACTTGTTGGGTCTGGACCAACTTCGTGGTGACCCAAAGTTCGGCAGCTTGTTTTTTTAGCTTAACTGTCCCGGTTGCTTTACTTGGTTAACGAGGATGGTCAACCATCTGGTAAGTCCAGAAATGCCGTTAGAATGATTCCTATTGATACAAGGGAACCATGACCATAGGCCATAATAGACATGGCTCACATGGGGTGTGTCTTGTTTGAGGGTTCGGACCCATGGTTGGTTTCCCCTTGTGGTTTCGCCCATGTTTTCTCATGAAAGCAATGGGGCATTGAACAAAATAAGAACTGCATAGAAAATTCAAGCTCGCGGCGACGGAAGAAGACCCAACCGCATGTCCTGTTCCTAGGACCGGCGGGCGATGCTGGCGGACGACAAGGCGATCGAGGGATCGATGGGGGACGCGATTCCAGTTGATGTATCAACCGCTGGTCGTTTTTTTTGGTCTTGCGCCCCATTTCTGAAAGGAGCCTTGAAAGCGGAAACAACAAGTGGGTTGATCCAAGATTCTGCTGAAACAAAACCCCATGGGGAGCACAAACAACACGGTTGTTTCATGGAGAATCTCTACACTCACATCGCCCCCACCCGAGAAAATTGCACATTTAGGAGAGGACTCTCCTTATCGGGTTCCTTCTGTTGATTTTGCGATTTTCCATCTTCGCATGAAACATCCGTGCTGGATCCCGCCCCACAGTACGACCTATAAACTTTCAGCATATGGGGTTTGTCGTTTTTCAGGGCTCGGATCCTGCCAAAGGGGGTTTCCCTGTGAGCCCACAGAAAGGTGTGAACCAACGCCAAAAACAAGTTTGCCGCCCATTTTGAGCGATCCTTTCCCAAAGAGGCAAGCAGTTGGACTGTGTTGGCAGGGTCTTTGAGACCAATCCAATCCATTTGGACCCTCCAGGAACGGACAATTTGTCGTTGAAATTTGTTTCCTTTAGTGCGTAACCCAGGTTTCCAAAATCACTTGGTGGGAAAAGAGATGTCCTGCAACCGGGTTGGGAAACATGAGGAACAGGGTAGTGCTCGCTCAGCGATCTTTGGGTTTCCGCCGAGGCGGAGGAGGAGAGCGATTCCTGTGCCTGCGGCCTTGTTTAGTGTTCGAGGTCGCACGCTCGGTGGGAGGGTGGGGACTGACATACTCCATTCCCTTCTTGGAACCTCAAGTGGCCATCGAGGCTATTGAGATTTTGATTGCCCTTTTGGGGGCTGCCATCAACATGGATGACAAGCGCTTATTGACACATCGCTTTCAAGCTGCCAAAGAAGGAAGTCAGATAAGGCCAGAGACTTGTCTGCGGATGGACAACAACCAATTCAAGTAAATATGTTGGGACTCACACCCTTTCTCCAATCATGGAAGCTGACAGGAGTTTCCTTCTGGGATTCGTACCCATAATTGGGAACAGGACAGAATCACGCGGCCGTCCGCGACCGAGAACACATGTTCAAATCCATATTTCCTCGTGAATATTGCTTTGCATTGCGGGTAATCAAATCCCAAACATGCCAAAGGACTTGCAAATGCAGCTGGCGATTTGTCTTTTGCCCAGTCGCGAAAGGTCGTAGCCCCATTCGATGCCTTCGAAGTTGTTGCATTTCACTACCGGAGCCAGGGCTCACAGAGAGTGGCATGGTCTTCTCACGAAGCTCTACGTGTGTGGTGTCGCTGTGTTCGCCAAATCGAAGACCCACGACTTCCACGCAAAAAGTCAATGCCACGTAGGCGTACACCACTCGCGTAACGCTACCCTCGCAGTTTAGCCCCGCGTATGCCCTTGCGAAAGGAACTTGTTGGTGTCTCTTGTCCGCAATGATTTGGTTGCTCCTACGGACAATGTGGGTGTCTTGTTGTTCTCAGTTGCCCAAAGCCGACTTTTTGACTTTGTGGTTTCCTGTTTTGGTCTATATGTAGTCAAGATTCCAAAAGCTTAACCTTTCATTTCCAGATCCTTTGGGCAACCGAGCGTTGCTACAGGACTGCCTTCTTCACATAATGTGCATTTCTGCTGATGCGATTGGCGCTACAGCGCTTGCTCCGTGCCGTTGGGAGGCGGAGTGCCCATCGTGCAAAATATTGGTTTCTCTCTATATAGGGGATCCCCCAAGATGGGTAGGTTTCCAATAGGTTTCCCTTTAAACAGACAAATGGGTGTTTTTTGATTTGGTTTCCCTGGAACCAACCCCAATAACAGGTGAACTTTCGCACGCCCATCCGGCGTTTGCCAGGTTGGCGCTGACCTTTCAGACTGCCGGAGGTAGGATGGCGTCCGGACTGCCGGGCGTCGATCATTTTTTTAGGAAAGACCAGGCTTGGGGGGCAAAGGCCGATCACTGCCAGCTTTTGCCCCCTGAAATTGATGCAAGCTGCATGTTTTAGCTGCGGCATGGCCGCAAATTGGGAATTCGCAGGCGGTCTCTTTTGTGACCTTCAGCCTACACATTTGGGTTTTTGTTTGTTTGGAGTTGGGGTTAGGGTTGGTTCAACGGGAAATCACGAGGAAAGCCAAGCTTCATGCGGTTTTTGGTTCAGGGGCGCGCCTCCCTTGCACTGCCTTGAATCTAAAGAATGCATGGACCAAAACGCGCCGAGCAGTGTGCGGGCTGCGGCGAGCCATCGAAAGTTCAAGCCGAAGCGGTAAGAGTCCCCTTGACTTAGGGAGAGGTTTGATCAGTGCATTTTGCTTGGATGTTAGGACTTTAACTTGTTGCCAACCAATGGGTTTTCCATTAAACCACTAGAAGTTAAGCTTTTGGCAGGGGAGCAGAAAGCAAATTCAGAATGTTGAAGACGCCTTCGGGTCTCTGTCAGGAATCCTTTTGCACGAAACGATCGACGTTCGAACACTCCATTTGTCATGTGGAGGTCTTTTGAATGCCTTGGCTTGACTTGGTTGCCGTCGCCTGGCTGTGTCTCGCTCGACTTGCGGTCCCTTCTGGTTATAGTGGGTCCTCCTAGGTGAATTTCATTGATTGAACATTGATTCCGCTGGTTTCAGTCTGGTTCAAATCATTTAACAGTGGAAGCTCTTGTTTCTTTCAAGGGACCATTCTTATCATCCTTTGACTGCAACTTCTGGCTCAAACCGTGCAGTTAGAAGTGCTGCCCTCTCCTTTGAGGGACAGGGCGGCAGCCTTCTTCCAGCAAACTCAGGGCATAGGGCTTGCTTCGTGTTTTCGGCCCAGGGGAAACCCCACAGGGGGGGTTGGAATATTGGAGCACACAGCCACACGAAGCGCGGACGAAGCCTTTCCGTCGGTCAGACTTAAAGCCACCAGTTGGAGGCGCGCGAGACGAGCCTTGCGTTGAAGTGGGACCCTCTGAAAGAAAACGATGCACTTGGCCATCAACCTGAAACAGTCGCCATTTTGAGGAGGGGCATGTCGAGTTTTGTGGCAGGTTGATACAGTTCGCATGTTTTTCCCGTTTTTTCGATGTTGTACGCATTTGTCTCTGAAAGAATTGGCCATCGGCCTGAAACAGTATGTTTCCCCCCCCCCCCTCCGTCCTTTTGACTTTAAATGTTCTACGCCCTTTTTTTCCAACGTGCCCTGCTCGTTTTGGACTCACACGGGTGTGTGTTGCTTAGTGCTTGTTCTTTTCAGCTGTGAAGGGACGCCAAGCGGACCGTCGTATTGGAGGCGATGGCCCAGGACAAGGCCAGGGATGAAGACGAGGAGACGAAGGTTGCCAGGGCCTCAGCGGGGCTGGGGAGGTTTTCTGGAGGAGAAGTTGGATCGGTTTGGCTAAGAACTCCCTGAAGCTCCGATTTGGACTTTGTTGTCACTTTTTGGGAAGGCCATAGTGGAAAGAAAAACAGATGGCTTTTTCTCTGGCGCCCTCAAGTGACCCTTTGAATCTTCGTGGCTGGACTCGGAGAGTTACATCCATCGCGCACCTGTTTCTTTGGCCCCGGGTTTTAGCCAAAAGGGGCGCATGAGGTTGGGTACAGGGGTGAATTCACCACCTCCTGGAAGTTTTGCCCTTTTTGATGTTCCTTGTTTTTCCCTTTACGCATTCAGGGGTCTAAGTCTGGCGAAGCTTAAAGGGGTCTGCTTGCTCAAAACTTCCATTGTTGGCATCGTCAGGTGGTAAAGTACGTGAGCTTCGTGGGTGCCGCTCTGGCCGGACTCCCAGGATCACGTCTCGAAGTGCGATCGAGCCCGCGCGCGCGCGTTGTGGGACCGGCCAGCTGTCTAGAACAGTCCCTTGAAACGTCCCTTGAAGTGTCCGAAGGCCTTCCACAACCAAACAACATACGGCTGTGTCCTGAGGGGACCCCAAAGGGGTGGTGTTCCTTTGTTTTCATATACGACCAAAGCAGGGGTGCCGACGCCCCAAAAAAACGAGCTACCCCGCGAGGCAACCAGAACCCGCACTTTTGCTTGCTGAAGGAGGACAAAAGGAACCAACCATTCTTTTCTGTGCCCGAATTTGATCCTCAGAACATTGGTGGCTCGTCTTTTTTGGAGGCTCAGTACCCCTTCTTGGGTTGGATGAAAGGGAACACAACATGAACATCGAAGCCAGTGTTTGGGGTGCCCCGCCAAAGAAAGACACACCCAAATACCCAATGGACCTTTTGAAGCTGTGCGATTCCCACAGACTGCGAAGGAACCGAATGAAGAGAATCCGATCTGAAGCGATGACTTGTAAAAAAAGCAGGCTGCAAATATGGGACTAACTCACTTCCTGAGTTCTTGGACTTGATTGTTTTTGTGGTCTGGACGATTTCAGTGGTAACAAACACAAAGCTTGGAGTTTTCGTTTGGCAATCCGCTCAGGAATTCGAAATATTTCCCCCCCTTCCCATTTCACATTTTGCACTTATGGTTGCGCGAGGCTATTTTTAAATGTCCAAATCCGCAAAGCAACAAGAAACGGTTGCCGCACGAGGTGTTCTCACTCCACGGCGATGACTCGGGGTTCCTTGTCCAATTTGCACCACCGGCAAGCAGACAAAAGAGCAAGTCTGTCGCTTAAGAGCATGGACTCTGGTCGGTTTTCAAAGAAGACCCTTCCAGGAATCCTTTACTTCACAGCCACTCACAGACACCGCGCAAATCGCAATCTGGCTGTTTCTGGTCCAAGGACCTGAAGGTGTGGCCTGCTAGGGGACTTGTTGTTCCATTCCCAAGCCCTCCTTCCTACAAATCTTTTCCGTAGTTTGTCAAACAACACATGGGCCTGTCTCAAAGTGGGGAATTTTGGAGAACTGAAGAGTCAACTAGACTCCAGTAGAGGAAGCCTAGACAACCTCCGGAAACCCAGGGAAAACGGATCCTGTTTTTGGAAAGAACTTTTTGTGAAGAGAATGGTTGTGGGGAGTCGGCCCCTAGAGCCATGCTCGCTCATTTGGCCGTGGGTCAAAGCCAATGGTACCATTTGGGTTGGTCGGTGAATTCACCGCCCATTTTGGAACCTATTTTAGCGGTTTTTTGTTGGGATGTTCTTTCTGGGTAGGGGCTTTTGGTTTTGACCGCCAGATTTTGGACCAAAACCCCGCCCCACCCCTCCCCCCAGCCCAGTCACCCCCAGCCCAGCCCCTGGCGATCAGCTGGCGATCGAGGCCTTCGGCGCGGCGATCCTGGCGATCTTCGCGGTGTCCATGCCCTGGTGGCCGGGGGCCCCAAGAAGAGCTGGCGAAGGCCTCGACTGCGAGCGCTCGGCGGCCGTCGATTCTCTTTTCTTTCAAATATACATATATATATATATGTATGTATTGATTTATTTAATAGTTACAGTTCTTTTTGTCCGGTGGCATTTGTTTACCATCCCGAAGCTGACCAAAAGAACCAGGGGCTGCCAACTCAAAAAACACACATGCGCATACCCACCTGCTGGTCAAGCAGGCTCCCTTGCCCACAGAGCAGGTCTAGGCGTGATGTCCTTTTTTGGGATGAGTTTTGCTCCCGGCAGGCTGGTGTTTGGGCCTGCCACAAACCAGCCGCCAACATACGGGATGTTGGGGTTCGTTTCAACTGGCGCTGGCAACGGGAGTTCTAGGCTGAATAAGAACGAGCGCTTCCATGTGAGTGATTTAGGCCCCAAAAAGCTAATCTTAAACCGAAAAAGAGATCCGTTTCCCCAAAAGGAGATTCAAATCTTTAAACATCGTGATTTTTCAGGCATTTTTTGTCGGCTCCCCACAGAAAACCCTTGATTTCCATACCTCCCAGCGACCAACCCACCAGACCCACCTCTCGCGCCAAAAAAGGGCTTCGGCATGGAGATAAGGTCCCGCAATGGTGAATCATGGGTGGCTCGTCTTTTTTTCAGAAGTTGGGAACTAAGCGAAACCATTTGGGGGTCCGAGTCCGAAAAGATGCCAGCATGGTTTGGATGGAATTGGGGGGTGGTGAGTCAGAGACCAAAAGCTCAGGGTTTTTTATATCAAGACAGGGAAATCCCTACAACAAATGTTCCCCTGAAAAAAGGCTCACCCTAAAAAGGGGCACCTCCCCCAGACTGAGACACCCGAGCTGGCGCAAACTGAGGACAGGAACGCAGTCCAGCAGCCTCTTGAATGCCGGGGGTCCAGGGGCGGACGGGTTGCTGGGTCCAGGAGGTCCATTTGGAGCCGGACTGGAGGATGTGTCAAAATAGCAGCCACTTGGAGTTCAAAAGCCAGGCAAACCAGATGTATCTTGTGATTGCCAGGGACCAAGTTTGAAGCAGCATGACGCCAACCACTACTTGTCCTTGTTCAGAACCGTTCCCCCAAACTCGGGGAACAATCACAGATCCCAAGTCGGGGACCCCGCGTTTTGCGGGCGGTTCTCCATTTAACTCCCCTTTAAAGGCTCCCGGCAGAGCCTTTGAGCCAAGATGTGATGCCATCCAACGCCCATGAGGCCCCGCTCCCCGCCCGTTTGAGCCATGGGGTTCGGGTTCCACCAGGCCGTTGGCTCAGGTGGGCCTCGATGGCACGGAGACGACCTTGGGGGCAACCATCACCTTGCGCCGCCGGCGAAGCGTTTTTTTCTTTTTCTCCCGCTGTGCGAGAGGGTGGCGGGACGAAAGCTGGAGAAATGTCCAGGTGGATGTGGGACCTTGTTGATAAATTAAGGCTTTGTCCTTTGTGTTTGAATGATTTTGATGGCTTTCGCTATGGTTTCCCTTGAAACCAACCCCAAAGAGGGCACTCTAAAGAAACAGAGACCCCCCACATCAGCCGCAATTTTGAAGGAGAGGCACGATCCGTGATCTGACCCAACTCAACTTGGTTGAAAACGAGGCATTGGCGAAAGGGCCAACCAACCTATGATTCAGAAAAGAACCACACAACCATGCGAGCTTGGTGGTGCCAGAGACTGCCACGCATCCACATCTTTGAAATGATCCTCCGCTCTTTGTCCTCGGTCGTGCAGAAGACTTCTGGGAGCGGCGCAACCCGAATTCTTGGCATCTGATTTGCGTCGGCCAGCGATCAGAGCAGCTCTTGGCGAGCAAATTGGATACGTGTCGGAACACGCTCAAAGCCATTGTTGGGGTACCGATTCCTATTTGGAGACACACCCACTTGCATCCTCAATGCAATTTGCCAAGTCGTCCGGTGAATTCCACTTGCAATTTGAGGTAATGCCAACCCCTGATCAATAAAGCACCCAGTTTGGGGTCGGCGATTAAGCATTTAGCTGGCACGGACCAAGGGGTCGAAAAGGCACTTTCACAAGTTCCTCCAAAACAGGGTTCGCGCCGGTGGGGCATGGGAGGGTCCCCGATTCGAGCCCTGCCGCCCTCGCCAGGTGGGACTTCGATCTCGAGCTGCAGCTGGCGCCCAAGGAAGGTCAACTCGACGGCGAGGCGCGAGAACCAAAACGAGCTCGGGGACGGCCGGTGAAGGTCCGGGAACTTGGGGCTTTGCTCATTTGGGTGTGGGTCACAAATAGGTACCCAAAATCGAACACTGGTAAATGGAAGCAAGGACTAAAACCTGCGATCCCCTGGTGTTTAAATTTTGACCCATGCCCATTTCTAGCTGGTGAATTGCAACTTGATGGTACTCTCCGTTTGAGCTTCTTTTCCTCCCAAGATCTCGTGGCCCACTCTGCGAGCTTTTTAGCAATCTTAGCACCTGGCCACAGCACTGGCGGGTCCCGGCTCCCAGAGTGATTCGGATACCAAGGCCAGGACATCCGAATCCATCATCCGGGTTCCGCTCGACTTTCTTTCACCCAGCCGCGGTTTTTGGGTTCAAGAAACGCATGGGAGCGGACCAGAGCTGCTGAAATCGGCCCCACGGACTCCTACAAATGGCTTCACTGGGCAGACGACGGGCCCTTTGAAGACGTCGATCTCATGGACTGAGCTGCTATGCAAATGAACAAGCTCTTGCGTGCAACCGGCATCTTCGCAACACCTTTCCGAGCTGGGACAACCAAAAGTGCCGCCATCGGAACGGCCGACTCCGGTTTGGGCGCGACCTTTTCAACGTAAGCCTCAGAGCCTAGGAGCTCACCGGGTACGACCAGCGGCTACTTCCCCAGGGGTCCATGGTTCAGGTTTGAATCATGAGGTTTGCAGAATGAATGGTTGCACACATCAGTGATGTTGCTTTTTATTTGGACTTCGGATGGCACAGAAATAAATGTCAGCTGGGTCCAAAGAAGGCGCCTCTTTGGAGTCGAGAGTCTTTTTTGAAGCCCTTGATGCCTGGGGGACAAACCTTTCCACCAGGGCGATGGTGGCATGGGGAGACCTTAGCCCCTTAGCGCACATATGCAGGAACCCGCTTCTGGGCTTGGCATGCGTCCTAGAGGGCCTCATGAGTTTCGAGCAGAAAGCTACCCTCCTCCAACAATCATGGAAGCTGGCAAACAAGTTGTGCAAAACTACTTTCCTTTTGGGGAGGCCCCTTGACCACTTCCTCTACAGGTGGAAGTACACTTCCCCTTGCTCATACCCCATGGCTTCCTGGTTACCAACCCCAGGGAGCAAGGGCTATATGCCCTTTTGGGGGAGAGGGCTATGAACAGCAAGCCTTGCGTCGTTCAAACCAACACTGGTCTTCCACTCTTCTTAGAGGGTACCCGTTTTCGGGTTCTGCGCTCGCCGCTAGATCTACAACTTGCGGACCACCTGGGACGACACCTGCGCGCAAGCGGCGGCCGACCCAGCCCGGTGGATTCGGATCAACTCAAGTGGCAGGGTCTCTGTTTTGGTCTAGGCGTAGCGTTTGAGATCACCGTTAATGGTGGGTGTATCCCGAAATTCAGAAATGACCTGCACCAAGGGGTTCCCGATTCATACCCATTTGGGATGCCTTCTGAAAGCACGAATGATCCTGTTTTCACATCTTCTGAAGACAAGTATCCCTGACAAGAATGGGCAAGGAAGGTAGAACCAGATGTGGGAAACCGGTCAGGAACTTGCGTCGTTTTACGAGCGTTCTTCTTGGAGAACCCACCAACCAAGCAGCTGGTCTCACCCCACCCTGGTGCGGAAAAAGCGTTTTTTTTTCTCCAGGGGACTAAAGCAAATGGAAGCACACTAAGCAAGGGGTTAACACGAAAGCAAGACATTCACCTCTCCGCTCGCTCAGGAGCGTACCCTGCCCAATGTGCCTTACTGCGCGGAGGCCGCGCTGGCGTGGCCTTGAAACGGAACTCGAGGGAGCGGTTTTCTGTTTGGCTCGAGATTTTTCACCCAAGAATTTCCTCGAGCAATCTCAAAAGGGTACCCACAAAGAGACACACCCCAGTTGGGGCAAATCTAAAAGACTTCCCTCTTGAGAGGGGTGCCGAAATTGGGTGTGTCTTTTTCCAGCAACTTTGGGGACCCTCAAAGTTGTGGTTTGGTTTTGGCTTTCCTTTGAAAGCCACAAACAGGGGGGTCCTTCAAACGGAAGTGAGTCATAACTGAGGTGACCCTTTTTGGGAACCCCCACCCCCACAAAACTGAGGTGACCCTTTTTTGGGTACCCCGGCGTCTCTCCATGTGGCCGTGGGTCAAAACCAATGGTACCATTTTTGGGGTAGAATAATTCACCACCTTTTTTAGAACCTATTTAGTGGTTGGATCGGGATGTTCACAGGGGTACGGGCTTTTGGTTTTGACCCAGGGCCAAGTGACTACTAAGGCCATCAAAAAAAATGTCCTTTTGGTTTTGCCACCTGGGTTTTGATGTCTCGCCATGCGTAACCCGTTTGCCAGGTGTCCTTGGCCCGGGTCTGCGTGATCCTGGAGGCCATCTTCGACAGCTTCTTCGCCCGGGGCCTCGTCTCGGGGAGGCTGAGGTCGCGATCTCCTTTGGGTATTAAGATCATAAACCCCTAAATTGATAAACCCTTAAACCCTTAAACCCTTAAACCCCTAAACCCTTAAATCCCTACACCCCTAAACCCTGAAACCCTTAAACCCTTAAACCCTTAAACCCCTAAACCCTGAAACCCGTAAACCCGTAAACCCTTAAACCCTTAAACCCCAAACCGCCTAAGCCCTTAACCCCCTGAAAAACCCACAAACCCTTAAACCCTTAAACCCTTAAACCCCTAAACCGCTAAACCCTTGAACCCTGAAACCCCTAAACCCCTAAACCCCTAAACCCCTAAACCCTTAAACCCTTAAACCCTTAAACCCAAACCCCCTAAGCCCTTAACCCCCTGAAAAACCCACAAAGCCTTCAACCCTTAAACTCTTAAACGCCTAAACCGCTAAACCCTTGAACCCTGAAACCCCTAAACCCCTAAACCCCTAAACCCTTAAACCCTTAAACCCTTAAACCCCTGAAACCCTAAACCCTTAAACCCCTAAACCCCCAAAACCCCTAAACCCCTAAACCCCTAAAACCCTTAAACCCCTAAACCCCTAAACCCCTAAACCCCTAAACCCTTAACGCCTTAAACCCTTAAACCCCTAAACCCTTAAACCCTTAAACCCCTAAACCCTTAAACTCTTAAACCCTTACACCCTCAAACCCCTCAACCCCTAAACCCCCCAAACCCCTAAACCCTTAAACCCTTAAACCCCTAAACCCTTAAACCCTTAAACCCCTAAACCCTTAAACCCTTAAACCCCTAAAGCCTTAAACTCTGAAACGCTTACACCCTGAAACCCTCAACCCCTAACCCCTAAACCCTTAAACCCTTAAACTCTTAAACCCCCCAAACCCCTAAACCCTTAAACTCTTAACCCCCTAAACCCTTAAACCCCAAAACCACTAAACCCTTAAACTCTTAAACCCTTACACCCTGAAACCCCTCAACCCCTAAACCCCTAAACCCTTAAACCCTCAAACCCCCCAAACCCCTAAACCCTTGAACCCTTACACCCCTAAACCCTTAAACCCCTAAACCCTTAAACTCTTAAACCCCTAAACCCTTACACCCTTAAACCCCTAAACCCTTAAACTCTTAAACCCTTACACCCTGAAACCCCTCAACCCCTAAACCCCTAAACCCCCAACCCCCTAAACCCTTAAACCCTTAAACCCGTAAACCCTTAAACCCTTAAACCCCTAAACCCCTAAACCCCTAAACCCTTAAACTCTTAAACCCTTACACCCTGAAACCCCTCAACCCCCTCAACCCCTAAACCCCTCAACCCCTAAACCCCTAAACCCTTAAACCCTTGAACCCCTGAACCCCTAAACCCGTAGACCCTTAAACGCCCAAACCCCTAAACACTTAAACCCTTAAACCCTTAAAGCCCAAACCCCCTAAGCCCTTAACCCCCTGAACCCCTAAACCCTTAAACCCACAAACCCTTAAACCCTTAAACCCTTAAACCCCTCAACCCCTAAACCCCTAAACCCCTAAACCCTAAAACCCCTAAACCTCTAAACCGTTAAACCCTTAAACCCTTAAACTCTTAAACCACTAAACCCCTAATCTTCTAAACCCTTAAACCCTTAACGCCTAACCCTTAAACCCTTAAACCCCTGCACCCCTAAACCCCTAACCCTTAAACCCTTAAACCCTTAAGCCCTTAAACCCCTAAACACCTACACCCCTAAACCCCTAAACCCCTAAACCCTTAAACCCCTAAACCCTTAAACCCTTAAACTCTTAAACCCCTAAACCCCCAAACCCCAATTTGTTTAACCCTTTTACTTTTGAACCCCTAAACCCCAAAACCCCTAAACCCTTAAACCCTTGAACTGTAAAACCCTTAAACCCTTAAACCCCTTAACCACTAAACCCTTGCACCCTTAAACCCTAAACCTCTCAAACCCCTAAACCCCTAAACCCCTAAACCCCTAAACCCCTAAATCCCTTAAACCCTTAAACCAAACCCCTAAACCCTTAACGCCTTAAACCCTTAAACCCCTAAACCGCTAAACCCTGAAACCCTTAAACCCCTAAACCCCTAAACCCTTAAACCCCTTAACCCTTAAACCCCTAACCCCTAAACCCCTAAACCCTTACACCCTCAAACCCCCAAACCCCTAAACCCTTAAACTTTTACACCCTTTCACCCTGAAACCCCTCAACCCCTAAACCCCTAAACCCTTAAACCCTAAAACCCCTAAACCCCTAAACCGTTAAACCCTTAAACCCTTAAACCCTTAAACCCTTAAACCACTAAACCCCTAAACTTCTAAAACCTTAAACCCTTAAAGCCTAACCCTTAAACCCTTAAACCCCTGAACCCCTAAACCCCTAACCCTTAAACCCTTAAAACCCCTAAACCCTTAAACCCTTGAACTGTAAAACCCTTAAACCCTGAAACCCCTAAACCCCTAAACCCTTAAACCCTTAAACCCTTAAACCCCCAAACCGCTGAACCCCTATTCCCTTAAACCCTTAAACCTCTAAACCCTTAAACCGTTAAACCCGTAAACCCCTGAACCCCTAAACCTCGAAACCCTTAAACCCTTAAACCCTTAAACCTTTACAGCCCCGAACCCCTAAACCTCAGTTTGTTTAACTCTTAAACCCCTGAACCCCTGAACCCCTAAACCCCTAAACCCTTAAACCCTTAAACCCTTGAACTGTTAAACCCTTAAACCCCTAAACTGCTAAACCCTTGAACCCTTAAACCCTCAAACCCCTTAAACCCCTAAACCCCCAAAACCCCTAAACCCTTAAACCCCTAAAACCCTTAAACCCTTAAACCCCTAAACCCCTAAACCCCTAAACCCTTAACGCCTTAAACCCTTAAACCCCTAAGCCCTTAAACCCTGAAACCCTTTAACCCCTCAACCCGTAAACTCTGAATCCCCTAAACCCTTAACCCCCTAACCCCTAAACCCCTACACCCTTAAACCCTCCAACCCTCAAACCCTCAAACCCCCAAACCCCTAAACCCTTAAACTCTTAAACCCTTACACCCTGAAACCCCTCAACCCCTAAACCCCTAAACCCTGAAACCCTTAAACCCCTAAACCCCTAATCCGTTAAACCCTTAAACCCTTAAACCCTTAAACCTCTAAACCCCTAAACCCTTAAACCCTTGAACCCCTAAACCCCTAAACCCTTAAACCCTTAAGCGCCTAAACCCCTAAACACCTAAACCCTTAAACCCTTAAACCCTTAAACCCCTAACCCCTTAAACGCCTAAACCCCTAAACACCTAAACCCTTAAACCCTTAAACCCTTAAACCCACAATCCCTTAAACGCTTTAACCCTTAAACCCCTAAACCGCTGAACCCTTGGGCCCTTAAACCCTTAAGCCCTTAAACCCCTAAACCCTTAAACCCTTAAACCCTTAACCCCCTAACCCCCTAAACCCTTAAACCCTTAAACCCTTAAACCCCTAAACCCCTAAACCCCTAAATCCTTAAACCCTTAAACCCTTAAACCCCTAAACCCCTAAACCCCAATTTGTTTAACCCTTAAACCCCTGAATCCCTAAACCCCTAAACCCCTAAACTGTTAATCCCTTAAACCCTTAAACCCCTCAACCCCTAAACCGCTAAACCCTTGAACGCTTAAACCCTTAAACCCCTAAACCCCCAAACTTCTCAACTCTTAAACCCCTAAACCCCTAAACCCCTAAACCCTTAAACCCGGAAACACTTACCCCTAAACCCCTAAACCCTTAAACTTAAACCCCTAAACCCCTAAACATGCCCAAGCCTCTAAACGCATTAAAATTCCAGGTTGGACGGGGATCCGCACAGCGACTTGAAAAGTCCGAAACTTCACATTTCCTGAATGAGGTTGGACGGGTATCGACAGAACGACTGAAAGACCCGGAGCAGCTTCACATTGGGGTTGGTTGTCCTTTTGGGGGCTGGAAGGGCTGGCCCGTGCTGACTTGACCCCCCCAATTGCCGTTCGTGCGCATTTCCCCCGCCAATTGCCGTTTGTTAGGAGCCTTGGAAAATGGAATCGACCCCATTCTTAGGTGTCCTCTTTGGGTTAGTTTGGTTAGAAATAGATGGGTTCCACTGCCATCCAGTTGCCAGGGAAACCATCCATTTTCAACGAAAGGTCACATATGGTCAAATGGGTTTGCCTTTTTTGGAGTTCGTACCCTGTTAGGGGGTGGTTTTAGGGGGACACGAGAAAGCCACCATCTTTTTGCGGTTTTTGGGTCCCAGACACGCCACGTGGGCTTGCCTTTCTTTGAGGGACCTCCCAGCATGGCATCGGTTTTCCTTGTGCTTTGCCTTTAAAACCACACAAAGGGTACAATAAAAAGAGACCCAAATGACGAGTGGAGTATCTCCCTTTAGTGGTGCGCCCTTAAGAGAGAAGTACCCGTTTGGCACCGTCCAAAGAGCAACCGGTCCTATTGTCAACTTTCCCATGTGGGGTAGGAATGGATGATCCCCTACAAATTAACGGATGGAACCGAAAAAGGGTGGTCGGTCACCCAACAGGATATCCCTCTACAAATGGATTGTTGTTTCGGCTTTCGTGATAGTGACCACAACTTCTTTGGAGACATTTTGAATTGCCAGAGGTCCTATGGGAAAATGACAATGACGATCAGGAGCTTTGATGGTACTGTGTGTATCCAAAGATGCGTGGTGTCTTTCAGAAGGGGATGCTGTGGAGCTTTCTTTTTGGATGCCTCTCACGCACCTCCTCGGGTTTTCTCATTTCAGTAACTTAGTCCTTGAAAAAAGGAGGTATGTGTTTTTTTTCTTCTTTTTTATAGCCAAGCTTTGTCATGATCATAGCACGAACTCTTGGTACCTAATTCGCCTCTTGATATTACTGGGACCCTGAGCTGGGTATTTGTTTTGCTATTTTTTCAACGAACCCCCTAATTTTTCGGCCCCCGATTTTCTGTAAAGTCCGTTCTTTTTCTTCCCCTTCTCTTTGGGACTGCCGAACATTGCTTTTCGGCCGCGAGCGCTGAGCATCCCATCAGATTTCCTTGAATTGGTGGTTTGGACTGGTGGATATTGGTGGCTTGGGTTTGGATTTGAACTCTGATCTTGTAGAGAGTGCGGTTGTGCTCCAAATGTGAAAGCAACCAAAGGCATCCCTTCCATTGTGTCTCGCATAAGAGTACCCAACAAATGGTGGCTTTCCTTTTGGCTTCCCTGAAATCTAAGTTGAACATGGTATCCTCGACAAAAGACACCCATTTGTCGTTTGCGCGTGTGTGTGTGTGTGTGTGTCTTTTTCTGAGGCTACCCCTTTGTTGTGTGTTTTACACGGACACCAACAGGAAAGCCAACTTCTTCTTTTTGTGCGTGGGGGGGGAGTTCCCGCGAAAATAGACCGAGGCGGCCTTCGTGATCCTCGCGAGCCGCTTCACTCCGCTGCTGCTGCTGCTGGCCGTGGGCTGCGGAGTCATCGCCCGGCGGCCCGATGTCGCGATGTCTCGACTTCGGCCGTTTCTGGGGGATTTGAATGCCCGTCTGGGGGTGTTGGGTGGGTGGGTGGGTGGGTGGGTGGGTGGGTGGGTGGGTGGGTGGGTGGGTGGGTGGGTGGGTGGGTGGGTGGGTGGGTGGGTGGGTGGGTGGGTGGGTGGGTGGGTGGGTGGGTGGGTGGGTGGGTGGGGGGGTTGGAGAGTTTCAGGGGTTGGGGGGGAGTTTGGGGGGGAGTTTGGGGGAGAGTTTGGGGGGGAGTTTGAGGGGATTTGGCGGAGGGAGGGGGGGAGGTTGGGGGGTCTTTTGGTGGGTGAACATTTTGGTGGTTCCACCCTTTTTGTGTTTTGGATGGTTTGAAAGGCGGAAGAACCTCCACCTACCTAGTTCTGAGATCCTACTATTTTGACACATACCCATTTTGTGCTTGACAGGGGGCAATACATGGCCGAGTATGGTTTTTTAAGTGCGCATCCGCATGCTGGTTGTTCATATTCATACCCACACAACGGCTTAAACCCACAGGTTCTTCATTCATATGGATCAACCACGCGAGGTTTGTTTGTGCCATTTGGCGGGAAGGGTTGGCCCATGGGACTCCAAAGGTCAACCCCCCGTTGTTCAGCGGATTCCACCCCCCCCAATTGCCACGCTACTTAGTTGCTCAAAAGAGTCTTATTCATAGTTGCCCGGTTTAGGTGAGTTTGGTTAGACATAGAACGATTCCACTGGTTATGAAATTTGCTTTATGCCATCCATTCACCAGGGAAACCTACCTGTTTTTCAACCAACGTTCGCCCATGAGCTAATTTGTTGTCTGGGGCCGCTGGTTGCAACTGGGGATCGATTCACAATTTGTCATCCGGCCTTGGATTGCTCTTTGGATCCACGTTTGACCTTTTTTGCTTGGGCGGCTGTTTTGTGAGGGTACCCTTTGGTGGTTTACAGGGACAATTTAAAGGACATGGCCGTCGCATGTGCGCTTGAGTTGCTGAGCGTGTCCCCTGAAAACGATTCCATGCGCCGGCCGGTTGCAGGGAAGCCCGCAGGCATCCTGCTACTTCCTCCCTTCGTGCTTGCCAGTGTTTGCCCAGCAGGTGCTGTTGAAGCTATCGCGGAGGGCAAAAAGCGCCGGCAACCGGGGAGCCTGAGCTTCAAGATGGCTCCATGGCTCGTCCCCATGGCACCTCCCCGCAAATGGAGAATCCTGCGGAACCCTAAGCTCCTCATTGAGCCGCAGCCGAACTAAAAGGAACATGATTGGTGTCCTGCAGTGCTTCCACTTCTGCAACCACTGAATGAAATGTTGAACAAGGTGACAAGCCACTTTTGCCCAGCCCTAGGGACGGCCCTGTCACGGATTTTGGAAGCCATGAGCCAGCCATGAGCCGGGGTGCCGGTGCCTCTTCCATGTCGGCGTGTCTCATAGCAAGCTGGGCCGCCTTTTTTCCGTTCAGTTTCCTCATCATTTCCCCTTCAAACCATCCATTTGGGCTGCTTAGCTGTATGCCCCCTTACCACCTTTGGCCTTTCGGGACATTTGTTTCCACCTGGCGTGTTGGTCAAAGTTAAGCCACCAGCAAACCCGTAGGTTTCAGTCTTGGGTTCCATTTACCAGGGCCAGCCAGTTTGGGGTTGCCCGATTCTGGACCACCACAGCCACATGGCGTGGGGGAGTCCCAACTCCAA